CCCTTGCTGATGATAACCTCCCCAGGTCTCGGTTTCTTGCCTGAACCTGGGGCTGAGCCATTCTCCCCTCGCTGGCTGCAGGTTCTGTGAGATAATACCTGCGCAGGAGGTACTCTGATGATGATGGTCCCAATGGCACGTGCTGTTTTGCAGGAGAGGCGGCCCTGAACGAGTACCTGAGGATTAAGACGGTTACCTTTGAGTACTGAAGGAAGGTCTCGTGAGAAGAAAGCCATCTCACCTTCCACAGCCGGACCTGCCTCCCCTGGCAGCCTGATTGTCCTTCTAGCCCCCACCTGGGTACTCAGCACCTCCACCTGAACTGGCCGGTCCCTGTCGGGGACCCCATCCCCACAACCCAGTCCAACATGTGGCTACTGAGAAAGTGGTCCCAGGGTGAATAAAGGTTCTGACCAGCAGCAGCTAGCACCCGAGTGTCTTTTCTGCCCGTCCCTACGGGGGTGCCCTCGGTGGCCCTGCAAATCCTGGCACACAAGTGACGCTTCGGCCCGGGAGAGCCAGTTGCTGTGGGGAGAGACACAGGGTTGAGAAGTGGGCGTGTGTCAGCTCCAGCCTCAGAAAGCAGGTGCTGAAGAGTAGGTAAGCGTTTGAGAGGCTTGTGAGGAGAGCCCTCTCATCCCAGACACCAAGGGGAGGAAGCAGGGAGGGCTGAAGAAGCGCAGACTCTGATGCAGCAAATATGGCCTTGTGGGAGCCACCAGGGCAGAGAGGCCTCAGCTGATGGCTGGTCAGAGGACACTGCAGTGGGAGGGAGCCCCTGGACCACCGTGGGGTCGTCGCCCCGGACTGGCATTTCAGCGAAGGGGCTGTGGACCTGCCTTAACCAGACAAGTCTCACCTCTGTCCCTTTTCTGGGTCCATGTTGTTGTGCCTCAAACACCCCAGAGCCAGGGCATCAGCAGCGGAGCCCGGGCGAATGCAGCGGCCCTCAGCTGGTTCTTTCATGCTCCTCCCGGTGGGAAGCATTCGGAGGGGGTCAACCTGGCCTCCCTGCAAACAGCCCTTCACAGCAGAAAGGCAGGCAACACCTCGAGCACAGTCCTATCCAAACCCAAGCCAGTCAAGCCAAGAAATACCGTCCTCGCCTCTTCAGACACACACATGGAGCTTGGCTTTAGCCAGGGCTCCCACGATAGTTCTACCTGAGACCTCTACCTACCTGAAGAGTAGGCTCTGAGTCTTCTCCCCCTTTATCATTATTATTATTATTATTATTAATCCAAAATATGTTTATGGGATGGTTGCCCACTCATCTCGATTTGAGGTGCTTTTGTGCTGCTTCCTTCTGGAGGAGCGTCCTCTGTAAGCCTTGCTTTTCCTCCTGTCACCTGACAGAGGACAGTGGGACAACCAACACACACAGCGGTGATCTTACAGCCCTACAGTAGGAACTGGGCCCTGCACCAGGAGCTTTTCCTGTGCCTCCTCTTCCGGAGAGGGGTGAAGGGGATCCTCAGTGAGAGGCATGCTGTCTTGGGGAGGGAAGGGGCTCATCACCGCCAGAAAAGCTCTTTTCGCTCTTTACAAATTTTCCTGAAAAGATAAGTAAGTATAATTTAAAAATATATATATTTTATTGATTTTTTTACAGAGAGGAATAGAGAGTGCTAGAATCATCGATGAGAGAGAAACATCGACCAGCTGCCTCCTTCACACGCCCTACCGGGAATGTGCCTGCAACCAAGGTACATGCCCTTGACCGGAATCGAACCTGGGACCTTTCAGTTCACAGGTCGATGCTCTCTATTTGCTGAGCCAAACCGGTTTTGGCTAAGTAAGTATAATTTTAAAAACCACCCCATTTCCCCCTCCTATGTGTTTCTCGCCAGCGTGTCTCCTTTACTTTTACATAGAACACTTGGAACACTTCTCTGGTCACCACACATGTGAGGGTGTTTTCCCACATCAAGCAATTTCCTGCAACACCCACTAAAGCTGATGTCCTATGATATCACTGGGTTCTGACACTATCTCCCAGGAGATCGCTACCCGCTAGGGCTCAGTCTCACAAGACTGCTCCCACGCACTTCAGCTGTCAATCTGAAGATGCTAGTTAGTAAGTCTCCAGTGAGCCTCCAACTTCTACCCAATGTAGCTATAAAACAGCGGTTCTCCCGACCCCTTCCTTACGTTCAGTTAATTTGCTTGAGCAGTTCACAGAACTCAGGGAAACGTTTACTTACGTTGATCAGTTCACTATAACCAGTGAATGTGGTAAGGACACAGATGAACAGCAGGTGAAGAGAGACATAGGTGAGGTCTGGGCAGGTTTTGCGTACAGGAGTCCCCTCCCCATGCAGTTGGGATGCTTCACCCTCTCGGTGTGGATTTGTTTGCCAACCTGGGATCTCTCTGAACCCTGTATTAGGGGATTTTATGAAGGCTTCCTCAAGTAGGCACAATTAATTATTAACTGCTTTCTATTCTCTGATGAGTGCCTGATGGTCACTCTAGTCATTCACTGGCTGTTGTGGGGTGTTCTGAGCTGGTCCAAGAAGTCAAGTGTTTTACCTTACAAACAGGTAAAGGGGTGTAGAGGGCCGCCTGGGAAGGCAATTTTCTTTAATTATCGTCAGCTGAACTCAAGGCGTAGGCAGAGCCACACCTTGGGAACATGTTTCCCCAAGATGGTGGGCATGTTGTCAGCTTGGCCTTCATATCAGCCCAGATGTCAGCAGGAGCGGGACTAGATATGTAAATCCAGGCATGCTAGGGCCGACTTAAGAATGCAAATAAGTTGGTGTTACCTCCTGGTATTGGGGTATAAAATAAATGCGCTGGGAGGGGCCCTTGTCGTTGTCTTCCTGCCTCTCCAGCAGACAGGATGGCGGCCCACCCAGCTCCCAGCTTAAAATCCATCTCTGTGTCTCCTCTCTTTATTTCTAATATTTCTCAATCCCTGGCCGCCTCCACTTAGAAATGGTTCCCTTATCTCTTTCCATGAGGAACACTGAAAAGGGAGATCCCTGTCATGTCTGGCCTCCATAGCATCAGGCCCCCGAAAAGGGGCTTAATGATAAATATATTAAAAAGGTGAGGATGCACAACACTCTAAAAACAGCATCAAATTGAAATGCACGTACAGTAAGTAGTCAGTCTTGCCCAAAATGCCTACATGAGGCCAATTCACTCCTAGAAACATAGTGTTGACCCCTCCATCCCTGCGGCAGGCAGGAGGAGCCAGAGCACGGCTGGCCCTCGGAAGCCAGGTTCCTGAGGACTTGTGCAGGTGGAACCAAACCTAGCCGTAAGTGAAGAAGGCTGCCAGTTTGTGTCTGTGAACCTGGAGAACCTCTTGTGTTAAACATGCAAAATTGTCCTTCGTTGAAATAATATAATGCAGTATTTCCTAAATCCTGCTAAATATCAGTGAGCCCTGAGAAAGAAGATACCTACTAAGTGTTAGGGTTGCCAGAGGAGGAATGCACGAGGCCAAACGGGGTTCTGAGTTTATTAGGTCATCTGGAAACCCAGAAGGGCTGAGCCCCAAAGGGTGCCAGCACCCAAGGACGGTGAGTCGGAGATTTTAAAGGACTCTAGGTGGGCTTTTTCTGGGCGGAGAATTCTCTGAGCGGGTCCTGAGGGGAAAGAGAATGGTCTTAGCAAGTGAATGTAGTCTTAGCAAGTGCTAAGTGCTAAGCAAAAGGGAATGTCTGTTGTGAAGTGGTCTAAAGGTCAGTTCCCAGGGGCGGGAGTGTCCATTAAATTATTCAGACAGACCTAACACTAAGAAGGGCTCCTGGCGGTGACCTGGGATCAAATGAAAAAAACAAAAAAACAAAAAAACAAACCACAACAATAACAACCTAGCAGTCATTTCTATGCAGGGGCTTCTCACACAAATTGCACTTCAGGGAGAAGCCTGAAGTTACTTGCTAGCACTGTGTTTCTGTCATAGGAGCCAGACCCTATAAAGGAGTTCCTGAAATCCTATTTCAACCAATAGGAATGAGGCTTTCCCTATCCAATTGGAGCTATGTAGATATATTCCACGGTCAACATCTACACCAACCAATAAGAGCAGCCCCATTCTGACCAATCAGGACAGAGCCCTTTGAACCAATCAAATTTTGAAGATTTGGAGTCCTTAATTGCATGAGGAGAAGCCAATCATGGACCAGGGGTGGGGACTTGTGCCTATGTAAGTCAGCCCTCCTATACCTCTGAGAGCTCATTTTGCTTTTCCACCTGGAATATGGGAAGATGTCTCCTCCACTGCCATAGGGCTAGACCAGCTCAGGGCGGAAAGCACCCGCAGGGGCCAGGGCTGCCCCAGGGCTCCTAACAGCCCCGCATGGACTACATCACAATGAAGTTGTTTGCACTGAGTGAAGTTTCTTTCTTCCAAGTTCCCCAAATTGTGGATTCCTATTGCCACTTGACATTTCCACCCTTTAGCCTTCCCTCTGGAGGGACTAACTTTCTGGCTCTTTGAGCATGAGCAGGCTTCTAGTAACTGCTTGAGCCTCCTCCCCCCCCCCCCCCCCCCCCCCCCTTTCCAAAATCTCTTGATTAGAAAGGCCAGTTGTCAAAAGACCTATTTTGAGTCAATCAGGAGAAATTGAACCGGGTGTTGTGAATTTTGTAGGTGTGATACTGTGAGTGTGGGAGAGAAAAAAAACCTACACAGATCTATCATTTAGATAAACATGCCCAGGTATTTAAAGGAGGGCTATGTCGACTTAGGGGAATGCATTAAAATGACGGGTGGGTGTGGGCAGGTGTGCGCGGGGGAGGAGCACAGATGGGTAAACGAAGATGCACGTCATTGAAGGTGGCCGCCGGCTGTGGACCATTTCCTTATTTCCAGGCGTTTGTAGGTCTGAACATTTCCATGATTAAAGTTACCTACAGCAGCACGACACTAATCCTGGAGACTGGATAGCTGCAGGCCAGGCATCCACGCCTTAGGAGCGGCCATTCTTCCCACACCCTTTAAGGAAGAAACCCTCCTGGCCCCTTTCCTCCCTGGAGCTTTCTTAGCTGGAGACCGGTTCCATCTTGGTAAAGCGGCCTCAAAAGCGAAGCTTCTTCCCCCAAAAAAGGCCTGGGACAGTTCTGCGCGCAGGAGACGGTCTTTCCCGGGGTGACTCCGCCTGGGGCAGGTACTGACCCCAAACCTCCCGCTGCGACCCCGCGCTCCAGCCCCGAGGGCGCGGCCTGGCGGCCCAGCCTTCCGGCGCGCGATCCGCTTCCTCCGGTGCCGCAGGCCGCGGGGCGGGAGGGAGGGAGGGAGGCGGTGGGGAGCCCGCCTCTGCCGCTTCCTCCGGGGCCGCATGCGGCCGCTCGTCCTCCGCCTGCGGCCGGCCTCTGCTCGCCGCGGCCCGGAGTGGGATCGGTAAGCGGCCGGGGCCGGGGCCGGGGCCGGGCCGGGTGCGCGGAGTGCGGGGCCCGCTGCGGAGCCCGGGCGTTCCGAGGGAGGGCCCGGGCGGGGAAGAGCCGGAGCCGGAGCCGGAGCGGAGCCGGGATGTGCAGAGGGCGGAGGAGAGGCAGAGTAGGGAGCGGTCCGAGGGGATCCCGGGCTGGGTGGGGCACACCGGGGAGCCCGGGGCTTGGGCAGCGGGGATCCGATGGGAGTCAGGGGCTTAGGGCGCAGGGATCCGATGAGAGGCCCGGGTTCGCGGCGCCCTGGCTAAGAACCCGCGGCGGGAGGTACGCGGTGGAGGAGGAAAAGGGGGAGAGGGAAGGCGGTGGGAAAGGAACAAGACGGGTTCTGGGCTGGGGAAAGGGGGCGCTGTCAAGGGCACTTGGTAAGCGGGAGGGATACTGCGGGTGCCGGGCGGGATGGTGCTGGCGGGTGTGGGGTGGGGAACGCGCTGGAGAGGGGACCCAGAGCTTGGGGGTGAGGGGCAAGTCCTGTTTTTTAAGGTATCGCTGAGGCTCTGTCCCCTATAGGGGGCACCCCAAACTCCTGGTGTCTGGGCTAACTGTCCTGCTCCCCACCCAGATTCTCCAGCTCCTCCCTCTCCCCAGCTGGTCAGAAACTGCTCAGGTGGATCCTGACCAGCCAGGTGTGTCCTGTGATGCAAATGAGGTACTTTGCATTTGTGGAGGAAAGGGGCCACATGCTAACCTAGTGGTCGGCAAACTCATTAGTCAACAGAGCCAAATATCAACAGTACAACAATTGAAATTTCTTTTGAGAGGGAGCCGAAAACCAACTTCCGTGCATGGGCCACTGTATGTGTGCACCTGCACGTGGTTTTTTGTGGGAGAGCCACACTTAAGGGGCCAAAGAGCCTTATGTGGCTCTATAGCTGCAGTTTGCCGACCACTGTACTAACCTGACAAACTCAGGGGAGGCCTGCATGGCGGCCTTGCAAACTCAGAGCCTTAAAGTAACCACAAAGGATGGTCTGAAATTAAACTTAAAAAAAATATATATATATTTTTTATATATATATATGTGTATATATCAATATATATATATATACACATATATATACACACATATACACATATATATACATATATATATATACACACACACACACACATATATATATATATATTTTTTTTTTTTATTGACTTTTTACAGAGAAGAAGAGAGAGTCAGAAACATCCATGAGAGAGAAACATCGATCTGCTGCCTCTTGCACACCCCCTACTGGGGATGCGCCCTCAACCAAGGCACATGCCCTTGACCAGAATCGAACCTGGGACCTTTCAGTCTGCAGGCCAACTCTCTATCCACTTAGCCAAACCGGTTTCGGCTGAAATTAAACTTTAAAAGCAGTTATGGCCGAAACCAGTTTCTAGTTCTCTATCCCTCTCTCTTCCTCTCTGTAGAAAATCAATAAAATATATTATTTTTTAAAAAAGCAGTTATGGTGGGTTACATCCTAGGCTGGTATCTTCACTGACAAGGTCAACCTTTTCCTTAATTGTCTTTTTGCATCTATAATAACATACTCTTTGAAATGTCTGGTAACTTGTAACTTCCCTTTTTCTGGACCTCTTGGGTTGGGCACCAGGACAGAGACCACAAATTCCTTCATTATCATGTTAATTGTTCTGGTACCACCTAAGTATGTGTTCATCATTTTACTTCTTATGCAATCCCAGGGGTTCCCTGCTTTGCTTTCTCCTGCCTCTATAGTCTGTCACCAAAGGATTTCATGTAACCCACCTATGTCTCTTCCTTTGACTGAGATGTATAAATACAGATGTAACCTGCCAACCTCTGGAGCATTATCTCAGTCCGTTGAGGTTCTGCTTCCCGGCATATGTCAACAGCTAGGCTCAAATAAACTCACAAAAATTCTTTACAGGTTTCAGTGGTTTTTACCATAACACACTCTTCACAACTCTTGTGAAGGAGGTGCAGTTATCCCCATTTACCAGATGAGGCAGTGGAGCCACAGAAATGGAACTGTTGTAAGCCATGCATCCAGGAAGGGGAGAAGCTGAGAGTCCAGTCCCTGTGGCAGGCTCCAAAGCTCTCCCCCTGGCCCAGGTCACCTGTGACGCCCAGGGGGCTGAGGCCTCACAGCATCAGGACCCACCCCCAGCCCCCAGAGTGGTCAGGAATGGCTCTGCCCCCCACCTTTGTATGAGGTGCTAAGGACCAGGTTCCAGAACACTGGGGTGCCCAGAGGCTGGGGATCCAGGGCTGGCTTCTTTTCTCCTCCCCCTCCCCCATCTTCTCATGTGTCAGTGCCCTCCTCAGTCTGTTGTCTCTCATTGGGGGACGTCTTCCCCCAGCCTCACTTTTCTTTGCGGCTAAAGGAGGGTTTTCCTGCACCCACATCCCACTCCTGACAGGAGCGTCTCTCACCAGCAGGCTGGTCCTTCGGGATCTGGTTTGTCCAACTGTACTCATTTCTTATCAACCTCAGTGACATTTGAACACATTCTCTTTACAAAACACTCCCACATTTCCAGTGAACTGGGGCCTCTGTCCCAGCAGCTCCCCTCCCCCCTGAGGCCACCCCTGGCCAGACCTTTCCCTGCCCTCCCCCACACGTGCAGTGAAGGTGGACCACAGGCCGGGAAGTGTGGGATGTTTCCAGGCGCCATCCTTCGGCCTGCTTTCCCCGGGTGACAGCGGTTCCATGAGGAAGAGGCTTCTGTGCTGTGCCCGCAGTGCTGCACTTCCTGCAGAGCCACACTCATTCCCGCTCGGGGACACCAAGCAGCTCAGCATGGGCGGTGCTGTCAGGTGCCCGGTCCAGCTGCCGTCACTGCTCTTGGGTGTGTCTCCTCCTGCGCCCATGTTCGTCACCATGGTTGTGCCTTGTGGGCCCTGGATAGTCACTACCAAGTTGCCTTTCACAGAGGTGGACCCACTGCCTCCCTCCCCCAGGCAGTGTGGGGCGCTTCTCTCTCCCTGAGCCTTTGGGCCCTCTGATGATGAGAGGGGTTCCGCCTGCTGGGTTTAAGTCATTCCCCCAGACTCTAGTCTTGTCGGGCTGACTGGACGCTTCTCTTTCTTCTACTGAGCACCTGTCTCTTGCCTCTTTCTCCATCAGCATTTCCATTCCTTGGGGTTAAGGAGGAATTGTTGATTTTTTAAAAAATAGGTATTTTTTTTAATTGATTTCAGAGAGGAAGGGAGAGATAGAAACATCAATGATGATAGAGAATCATTGATCAACTGCCTCCTGCACACCCTGCCTCCCCCCAACTGGGGATGGAGCCTGCAACCCGGGCATGTGCCCTGACTGGGAATCGAACTGTGATCTCCTGGTTCATAGGTTGATGCTCAACCATTGAGCCACACCAGCCGGGCTTGTTGATTTTTTTATTTCTGTTAGCACACTGTTGACTCTGGAAATCAGATTCTCCCTTCTTAGGGTTTCTTATTATTGCTGTTTGTTGTAGTTGTTATTTGTTTAGTAACTTTTCTGAGCTCATTCTTTAGTCTGTATTCCTTGAAGTCTCCATTTAGAGGTGAGGTAATGTTTGGTTAGAGATTTCCTTGATCACTGTGCCCGGAACCTGTAAGTCTCTGAGTCTTTGCCAAGGGGCTCTGTTTGCTGTTGGGGCACACCCTTAACATTCAGTCAGGTCATTACAACTCTGCCTTCCCCTCCCCTTTCTGCCTGTGCAGCGTCTCCCAATTAGCCAGGGGTGAGCAGGCTCCAGGCCTTTGCAGGTATTTCATATGCTCAGCTCAATATGAGCAGCCTTTTAGATTCCCCCAAATGTGTAGGAACTTTTAGAGTCTGTATAGGCATCTTATTCCTTAGCTTTTCCTTTTAGGTTTCTGTTAGTGTATTGTTTATCCCAACTATTATCTACTACCTCTGGCAGCCACAATTGTTTTCAACAAATGTCCTCCAGGGCAGTGGTTGGCAAACTCAGTCAACAGAGCCAAATATCAATAGTACAACGATTGAAATTCCTTTTGAGAGCCAAATTTTTTAAACTTAAACTTCTTCTAATGCCACTTCTTCAAAATAGACTCACCCAGGCCGTGGTATTTTGTGGAAGAGCCGCACTCAAGGGGCCAAAGAGCCGCGTGTGGCGGCCCACCACGGCTCTAGGGAAAGCCTTTTTATGCGAAGTGACCTAGGAGTCCCGTGAAATCAGGCTGTCTACAAGTGGCATCTTCCAGTGAACCACCTGGTAGGTCAAATAACGAAAATCCTTTGGGAATGAGGCTTTGAAATAGCTGAAGCCCATTCTATTCCCTGCCTCTCTTTTTAAAGTTTTTTTTAAGGCTGCCGCTGAGGGGGGAGCCGGGGATGGGAATAAGGCAAGTTGAAACATTATGGACATTACAATGTTGCTATTCTTGCTGAGATTCAGCATTTTCTCTTGAATGAATCCTGTGTTGTCCTAGCTGGCTTGGCTCAGTGGATGGTGCACAGGCCTGCGGACTGAAGGATCCCAGAGTTTCAAAAAAGTTACTTCTGACAGTTTTCCTGTTGCTTTTATGAAAGAGAGAACTTTGAGAAGTCCTTATACCACCGGTTTTGCTGGTTACAATTCATGTATTTTAATGCTGTCTTTTGTATGTATGTGTTTTGTTCTCAAGCGTGTGCATATTAAATAAAAATGTGTGTGAATTGGGGTTGCAGGAGGCCGCCTGGAGCAGGCACCAAGTGAAGGGCTGTGGATTGACTGGGACGATGGCAGCCACTGAGAGAAGGGCCTGATGTCTTAGAGCACATGTGTCAAACACAAGGCCCGCGGGCCAAATCCGTCCCGCCAGGCCTTGCAATGTGGTCCGCACCGCGCTGTCATCACTGCACTCCGCTGCGTTTCCATCACAATGACAGTTTATGACTGTTCAGTAAACCATTCGGCCCGTGATTTAGGCTGGATTTTAGATTTTGGCCCCTTCTCTGATTGAGTTCGACACCCCTATCTTAGAGGCTATCAGCTCTGTTGGGGGTCAGGAACTCTGCCCTACCATCCCTGCTGCTCTGTGTCTCCCAGTGTTACAGAGTTCCCGAACAATCAAACAATGCAGGAGGAGAGTTTGGAGAGACTTTATTCATTGCGCGCCATGGGCTTAGAGAAAATGAATTCAAATTCTAAGCAAGGCTACAAGCAGAACTTCCCTTTTTATTAAAGAGCCAGCCCTATGTGCATTAAGTGGCTATCTCGATGCTGGCCTTGAAAACAATACAGTTCTATCCAGTTAAAAAGTGCACCTGGCATGGCATTGAGATTATGGCATATCTAGTCTCTGGCCTATAAGGTCATACAGCTAAATTTATCTTCATCGTTATTCCAATAGGTTAAAGCAGACTAGAAAGCAACATTTTAGAATAAGACGCCATCTAAGAGCAGAAAATTCCAAACAACAGTTTGTTACAAAATAGAGGCTTTCCTTCTCACCAGGTGCGGGCTGCCAGGGGCTCAGCTGTGGTCACATGGACGGGACGGAGACCCGGCAGCGGAGGCCGGAGGAGCTGGGGCTGCCCCCCGCCCTCAGCACAGGGAGAGTCCACGCAGCCTCCGAAGATGGCCCTCTGGTCGTCCCTGAGAGCCAGAGGGTGACCTCTAAACTGCTGGGGACTGAACTCAGCAAGGAGACGGCCTTGTCCATTGGCTTTGAGGTGACCGTGCCCTTCATGTTTGCAGGCCTGGGACTGTCTGGGGCTGGCATACTTCTGAACTATTTCCAGGTAAGTGGGAACTAAGTGGGGATGATGGTGTTGGGGGCACTGCCTAATGTCACCCTAAAGGGTAGGCAGCTACATGTTTGGCCCAGCTTGAGGAGCATAGGGTAGGGCCTCCTCCTCTCAAATACAACTTTCCTATAAATTGGTAAAGGTTCTTTTCGTTATTGGTGACAGAGACTAAACGTAACCCAGGTTAAGCAGGCTGTGGACCAGGAAGGAGAGGTGAACTATATGGGTTCCCCTTGGTGGCCAGTAACTTCAGTTTAGACACCTGTGGGACTGGGGGTGCAAGGAGTGTGTACCCCCAGGGAGCATCAATCCACATTAATCAATGCCAGACTTATTGATGGCCTCAGCAGGATTGCCACCCTGTAACTTAACTATGTGGATAAAACAGGGGTTCCATGGAAAGTAATTTCATAGGATGATCTGATCATAAACTTCTAACTGGGCAGGTCAAGGTGAGTAGTGTTGCCCCAGGCCTATAACTTTTAGTAAAAGGTTTATCTTTGCCTTTAGTAAGCCCTGCCCATTGTTTCTGTGCATCTAGATTCTAGATCAACACACCTTTGAAATAACGGAAGTAACTACCCCTTGGAGAAGGTATTAACCCTCATGAGAGTACATCATTTTAATGATTCTACAATCCAATCCCTGCTCTGCTCTCTCCAGTCTTCTTTATGTCCCTCCTTAATTTCAAATGCATGAAAGAATCTACAAAACTGTTACTTTTGGGAGCATTTGAGATCTTGCTCCCCAGCACATGTCCTCGTTTTGGCCAAAATGAGGGTTTGCATGTTTCTTGTCAACACTGCTCACTCAGTGGGTCTCAAGGTGGGGGGGTGTGCCCACGTAGCCAAGGAGCTTGGGGGAGGGGTGACCCCTCTGGCACTGTGGCATCTGGCAAGGGACTGAGGATAGGGGAAGCTACTCTCTCCTGCAGGTAGGATGTGCCAGAGGGCTCAGGTGTGGCTCTTTCCTGTAATGAGGAGGCCTGGGTAGCTGTGCCTGCCAGGGCTCAATGAGCATCTGGGTATTGAGGGGCCAGGGCCAGGGCCTGTGAGAGCCTCTCTTTCCGGGAGTGCGCGGTGCATCCAGCAGTCAGTGCTCTGTTGACGTGTAGTGCAGGCAGGAGGGCAGTTTCTTGGATCAGAACCCCGTGAGTGACTTATTTATTGTAGGTGGTCCAGAGACTCCAGGAAACATAGGTGGAGCCTCTGTCTACCGTGAAAGAGTCCCCGAGGGCACTGATGGGAGTGCCTGCTGGTGTTAATTCGGACAGATTCTAGCGCCTCTTGCTGGAGGTGCTCCTTCACTGCAGGCTGCTTTGAAGTGACAGCATCGGTGGGCATCGGTGAAGTGTGTAGATGCGGACTGCGTTGCCTCCAGAATCCAAAAAGGACTGAAAGATGTCGGGCATTGTGGATGCCGAGAGGTCAATAGCTGTTTTATGACAGTGTGGAGGATCGGATTGCCCTCAATGTACCAAATAATTTTAAAAAATATATTCTATTTTTTTTTTTTTTTTCAGAGAGGAAGGGAGAGGGATAGAAAATTAGAGACATGGATGATGAGAGAGAAACATCGATCAGCTGCCTCCTGCACACCCCCCACTGAGGATGTGCCTGCAACCAAGGTACATGCCCTTGACTGGAATTGAACCTGGGACCTTCCAGTCCGCAGGCTGATGCTCTATCTACTGAGCCAAACCGGTTTCAGCTGTACCAAATAATTTTTAGGAATTTGACCAATGTGGCAAATTGCCCCACATGTGGGACCATAGCCCACCCTTTTCTTGTGAGCTCCTGTGTGAGTATTTGGATGATTTTAATGGGTGTGTTCACGTGAGTCTTCTTGGAGATGGGTGGCCACAGGGTATTGTCAGACCTATGCTAAAGAGAAAGGTGCACGCAGTTAAGATCTTGCCTGCAAAGTCTGTGTGATGGCAGAGCTGGTGAGGTGGCCCACGAGAAACCTGGAAAAGATGCTTCGTATCCTGTCAGAGCTGAAGATCAATGGTGGCTGAGAGGCTGTTGAAATAGGCTCTGAACAGAACATGTTAGCCAGGTCTATAGTAGCAAAATGTTTACTGGTTGCTGACTGGATGGAGTCAGTAATTTCAATAGCATTGGATTGTGGGTCTCACTGGATGGAACCACGGCATTGTGGTTGTGGTCATCCACGCCAAAGCACCTTATATTCTTTCCAAGTTTAAGAACAGGCCAAACTGGACTTTTAAGAGGAGAAGCACTTTTATTTATTTATTTATTTATTTATTTATTTATTTAAAATATATTTTATTGATTTTTTACAGAGAGGAAGGAAGAGAGATAGAGAGCTAGAAACATCGATGAGAGAGAAACATCGACCAGCTGCCTCTTGCGCACCCTCAACTGGGGATGTGCCCACAACCAACATACATGCCCTTGACCGGAATCGAACCTGGGACCTTTCAGTCCGCAGACTGATGCTCTACCGCTGAGCCAAACCGGTTTCGGCAAGGAGAAGCACTTTTAAAAGGTGGTAATCAGACCCTCACTCAGTAGGTCTTATATGAAAAGTATCAGTCCTTGAAGGCCTTGTTTTAGCTTACATTGGGCTGTATTAACTACTTTTTTTTAATTTTAAATACATTTTATTGATTTTTTACAGAGAGTAATTGAGAGGGATAGAGAGTTGATCAGGCACGCACTCAGAGCCTGGGGGAGAAGGACACTGCCTACCACTCAGGGCCACACAGGCTGTGCTTGGGAGCAGAGCAAATCGCCAGGGGCTGTGGGAGGCAGGCAGTGTAGGAACAATAGGGTGAAGTGCCCACTGGTTCTGGGGGAGGGTGAGATTAGCTTGTTTGAATAATCTCATGGGCTGGCAGGAACTAAAACCCACTTCCGGCATAATCGGGAACTGTGCCTGGTCCCCCTGATAAGAAGCATTGCTTAGCTAGGGGACCTTATCTGCTGGAGCAGAGAGGGGAGGGCAAGTTGCAATGAGGCCATGGTTTCGCCAAATGTCAAGGCAGCAAATCATAATTTTAGGCTTGACACCACTCAGCCGTATGAAAGGCTGTCTGGGTTTCTTTTTCTCTTTGTTTCTATGATTCTGTTTATTTGTGCCGTGGTGCACAAAATTCATGCGTGGGTATGATTCCTAGGCCTGGCCTGTGATCTGGGCCATCTTTCCCAGCTGCCCACAGCCAGCCTGCCCCCCACCGCCCCCCACCGCCCCCCACTCCTCGTTCCCCATTCATGGGTGATTGGAGCCTGATGCTGGGGAGGGGGCGGGGGAGGCGGGTAGGGACTAAGAGGTAGGCTGTTCCTGCCCGCTCGCCGGCCCCACCCCCGCTGTAGGTCGCCCTCTGTGTGTGGGGCAACTGGCAGGGCAGGGGCATTGGCTTGGCACCACTGGCATCCCCCGCCACCCAACCCCAGTTGCCTGTTCACCATCAGGCGATGGGAGCCTGCCAGCCTGAGAAAGGGACCGAGAGGTGGTCAGTGCGCTTCGTGGTGACTGATCGAGCCGTCTTTCTGGTCATTCTGCCATTAGGGTCAATTTGCATATTACCTTTTTATTATATAAGGTCATTCATTCACTCATTCGTGCAACATGAGTATGTGTGCCATGGGCCAGCATTATGCTGGACAACACCAAGGTGGACACGACAGCCAGGCCCTGCTCTCACAGCTGTCAAAACCAAGTGGGGAGCCCTAGCCAGTTTTGCACAGTGGTTAGAGCATCAGCTTGTGGGCCAAAGGGCTCCAGGTTCGATTCAGGACAAGGGCACGTACCTTGCTTGCAGATTCCTCCCCAGCCCAGGCCCTGGTCAGGGCATGTGCAGAAGGCAACAATCGATGACAGACAGTAGATGCATAAGTCAATGTCAGATGGCAGTAAGGGCTACGATGAAAACAGACCTGGGTGGTAGGCTTCAGGGGAGTCCGAGAAGGCCTTTCTGAGGAGGAGATGCTGGAGTGAGGCCTGAGTGACCTGAAGGAGCTACTTAGAGAAACTTCATGAGTGTAAGCTGGACAGGGCTGGGAGCGAGCGACTCAGCCCATTTTTACTTGTGGGTAGGTCTGCCTAGCCAAAGAAGCAGAAAATAAAGAACTTTTCCTGTTATTGAAAAAGTAATTGGCTTGGTTTCTGAAGACCTGACAGGGTGGGAAAGAATTCAGGCCTTTAAGAATGACCGTTTGGCTCAGAATCAGCCAAGGCTCAAGGTGACCCAGGAAAGGAACAGGAGGCCGTTTGGAAGGTATGCTCCTGGGAATATGGCCAGTTCTCACTGAAGAATAAGAAGTGAAAGCTAGGAACGGCAATATGCAATATGCATTCCAGAGTCCTCTGCCACCCTCGGCACCTCCTAACTATGCTGCAGTGGCACACACCCTAAAAATCAAGGGGTGTTGGCATATAAATCAAGGTGTGGTTCTGATGCCATAGGCCTGGGGATCTGATTCATTGGTCCGCCCTCAGGTGGGGCTGCACGTTTCAGGAGCTCCCAGGTAGTTGTGATGGCATTGTGGACTGAAAACCGCTGATGCAGTCCCGTCTCATGCTGGGGGCTGTGCGTGGTTAGAGGCCACAGGGCAGGGACTTGTTATAGGTCACCCAGAAATCCACCTGATGCTTGACCCAGATTCCACCGCTACCTGGTACAGCCCTGGGATCCAGTTTAAGCTCCTTGGAGATTTTCCACTGTGCTACTGAACTATTTTTAAAATCACATTCTAGATTTATTTATTTATTTATTTTTGGATTATGACCCAATAAACTATGTTGACACATTTTGTTCTCAAGTTTCAAGGAAAGTAATTTATCTCACATAATGAAATCTTTTATTTATTTTTGGTGACAGTTGATGGTTATAAAAGCAAAAAAAAATCACAATAGAATATGTAGCAAATTATAAAATAAAGGTCATTTATAATTATGCCACTCAAACATAACCACATTGAACACCTGGATATATATCTTTCTGAACTTTTTTTTTTTAATATATATTTTATTGATTTTTTTACAAAGAGGAAGGGAGAGAGATAGAGAGCTAGAAACATCGATGAGAGAGAAACATCGACCAGCTGTCTCCTACTGGATGTGCCCGCAACCAATGTACATGTCCTTGACTGGAATCGAACCTGGGACCTTTCAGTCCGCAGACCGATGCTCTGTCCACTGAGCCAGACTGGTTTTGGCCTTTCTGAATTTTTTACTGTTTGTATGTCTGTGTGAGTGTGACTTTTTTTTTTTAAAACTGAGACACATTTTTGTAATGATTAATAACTTGCTTAATCAGGAATCTATATGAAATTGTATACGTGATTAACTATTTCCATATCTTCTGTACTGATGAGAATGGTTTATGGTCTTGCTGTGTGTGTTGACATATTGTATTATGATGTCTGAACACATTCAGAACTATAAAGAAATCTCAGGAGTTGCCAAGGTCAGAAGAAAGTGATTGCGTGCTGGGGCCTCTCCAGCAGTGTGCCCTGGGAGTGGTGTGATCGGTGTCTCGGGCCAGCTGAGCGGGGTTTTGTTTTAAACCGGTTAGCTCCCTTAAACCAGATAACTTCTGCACCTGTTTTCTCAGAAACACACCATTCATCTCAGCCTCCTCCTGGTACAGGCGAAAAGGTCAGAGAGTGTTCAGCAAGGGAGGGCAGTGGGGGCAGGCTACAGTGGGAGTCAAGAGCTAAGAGTCTCAGTCCTGCCTCTGATACAACTAGGGTGAAGCTTTCAGGGCCTATGGAAGGCAGTACTTGCTGGTAAGCATCTGCAGATATTTTGAGAGTCTGGTGATTGATTTAACATGAAATGATTCCTTGTTAAAGGGTATTGAGAAGCATGGGAAACTGAAGATCTGTCATTCTTTCATTCATTTGTTCATTCATTTGCTGGTCATTTTAGCGCATGTGTGTAGTTGATGCTGCTCTCTGCGCTCAGCATTTCTTGACTTTCCTTCAGATAACTTTCCCCAAGTTATAATTGCATTTTCCTTTTTACGATGATCTACTACACCGGAAAGCTCAGTACTGTACATATCTGTTCCACTGACAGATGCACCACATCTGTTAGACCGTTAGATCAGAATCTGGAAAATAATAGGCCCTGAGTATTAATCTGTGGAGTAAATTAATCGTTTTCTGTGTGGTGAAGATTGCAGTAGTGAGTCAGTCAGACTTCCTTCTCAAGAGGAGCACAGTTCAGAAAGGGAGAGTAGATTCTTGTGCAATTCATACTTGCATTAATTGGACTTACCTTCAGACAGCTTAAAAAAAAAAAAAAAGTACTTTGTGAATTCTGGGGAAGGTATGTTAGGCTGTGGCCAGGAAGCTAGCGAGGCCTCAAAGATTAGAAGGTGCCTCACCTGGCCATGAGTCCAGGCAGGAGTTTGTCCTTGGCCACGTGCAGAGCTGCAGAAGGAGCCATGTGAGCGCAGGCATGGTCCATGGCAGGGTATGCAGGAATTGTCTCCTGTGGTGTGCAGCTATGCAACAAACCATACCAAACTTTGTGGCTGTTTGAAGCTAGTCATTCAGTTTGATCGTGAATCTGCAGGGCTTTGGGTAGGGCTCAGTGAGACTGGCTGGCTGTTCAATGCAGCATCTGTAGGGGTGGCTTGCTAGGCACTCCGAAATAGTTCACGTGACATGACAGTTGCAGCTGGCTGTTGACTGGAACCTCAGCTGGAGCTCTTGGCTGGAACCCCTGTGTATGGCCTCTCTGTGAGACTGCTTGGGTTTCTGTATAGCTGGTAGCTGGGTTTCAAGCAGGAACATCTCAAGAGATGGGAAGGGGAAGCTGTCAGTTTCTCAAGGTCTGGGCCCAGAACCAGACTGGCACAGTGTCTCTTCCGCTGAGTTCTACTGGACCAGCAATCACAGATTGAAGGGGAGGAGACAGAACTCCCAACTCTCCATGGAAAGAATGCCAATGAAATTTAGAGCTTCTTATGTTTGGCTCCTGGGAGGGGTTTAAAAATATCTGTTGAATGAATGAGTGAACGAATGGTGTGAGGAAAGAAGCAGTGAGAGGAATATCTGGGCTTGAATGAAACAGTTATTGGAGATGTTTGGTTGGAGTTGGCAAGGAGAGGTCGTAGGATATAGACTTGTGAGGGCGGAAACCTCAGGCTAAAGGGATGGGACTTGAGCGTGGGATAGTCAGGGGAACCAGTTAAGTGCCCAAGGGGGCTGTGGTTTAGGAGCAGGAGGTGAGACCCACATCTGAGCCTGGTTTAGGTAAGGTCCTCAGTCTGTAGGTAAGTGTGCACCTGACCCTCAGCTTTGGGCTTCTGCTGGCTATGGCCTTCATCCCTGCTCCAGCCTGGCACCTGTGAATGCATGATGGACATGCCCAACAATAGCAGAATTCCTGGAAGTCGGGCGACAGTCCAGCCCTTTTTCCTGGACTGGGTTGGTCTGACCTTGGTAGCAGATGAGAATGTGGTCCCTCTGGAAGCACGTTTACAAATCTCCTGGGCCCTTAAAAGAACAGGGCTGTGATTCCTCTGAACACAGTTTCTTCGTGTGCCCATGACCCCCTGGACATCAAAGTCGAGGTGACCCCAGGTGTATCTTGGGGACCTGCAGACCCTCAGAGGGCTGTAGTCCGGGCCTGAGGTGTGGTTCCTCATGCTGAAATTGTCTAGGCCAGTGGTTCTCAACCTTCCTAATGCCACAACCCTTTAATACAGTTCCTCATGTTGTGGTGACTCCCAACCATAAAATTATTTTCATTGCTATTCGTAACTGTAATTTTGCTACAATTAATGAATCATAATGTAAATATCTGTGTTTTCTGACAGTCTTAGGCTCTACAACCGCTAGCAGGGTCACCTAAGACCGTCGGAAAACACAGATATTTACAGCATGATTCATAACAGTATCAACATTACAGTTACGAATAGCAGTGAAAATAATTTCATGGTTGGGGGTCACAACAAATGAGGAACTGTATGAAAGGGTTGCAGTATTAGGAAGATTGAGAACCACTGGTCTAGACCCTTATCTGCCAAGAGTGGAGGCTGCCCAGAGCACACGTACCAAGGTAGGCAGGCCTCTGCATGGCCCTTGCCAAGGCCAGGCCTCACGTGTCTCCATCTCTGGGTCCGGCCAGAGCCAGCGTGGGCCAGAGGGCTGGATGCTGTCAAGGTCGTGCCGAGGGACAGTGAGCCTTCTTGTGGCAGGCTAGCCGAGGGAGGTCCCGGCTGACGTAGCAGCCACTCTGAAGAAAGCCTTATCTGCAGAGATCAGATGGGCAGCAGGAGCTGGCTTAGGCCCCGAATGAGGCTGAGTCACACAGGCCTTTTCTCTTCACTTGCGTGCTCTGACTCAGGCTGAGGGGCACTTGGGGAGCCTTCCACAAACGCAGGGCACATGGCCTTCCTCCCTGTGTGGACTTCTTAGGAAACGTATCTGACTGCGGGTGAGGAGGACAGAGGACGGAGGGCTTCCTGGACCTGGATGTCTTGCTCCTGGGACTGTGATTGACAACCTGACCATGGTGGTCACCCAGCTGAATCTGGAGTTCCGCTTCCAGGGCAAGAAGCTGCGAGGCTTCAGCTGTGAGCTCACCCGGTCCCCACACGGGGTCTTCCCTGAGACCACCTTCACCATCACGTGCCAGATTGTGGTGCCCCTTCTGCTCTCGGGTCTGGGCATGATGACTGCTGGCCTGGTGATGAACACCATCCAAGTGCGTACTGGGCATCGGAGGGGCAGTGTGGGGCCTGGGATTGGGCGGATTGGGGCTCCCTGGCATCACAGATAGGACAGGGAGGGGATGCAGGGAGCCCCCGAGTGGGGCTGAGCCCTAAGCCAGGCCTTGAGGCTCAGTGGTGCTAGTAGATGCGTCCTCCTGTGCCTGAGATTTACAGCTTCTGGGCCCTCTCTGAAGGTCAGCCCTCATGAGCCACATTCACCCAAGGAGCTCAAACCATTTTCCTTCTGGGGAATGCAGACTCCTTAGGCAGGGACTGAGGAGTTTGAATCCTGGCTCTGCCATTTGCTCAGTATCTGAGAGAACTCCTAGTGTCTCCCACTCAGTTTCCCCATCTATGGATGGGACTCATAAATGTACCCACCTTGCAGGACTGTGAGGATGGATGACCAAGCCGTCCTTGTGTTGTGACCTGAGGGTGATGGGCACTACTCCCTCCAACCCTCAGACTCTTTGTGGGGCTCTTCCTTGGGAAGACAAGGGACAGAGGTCAGGCTGGGGTCCAGGCCGGCCAGGGGCTATGGTGGTCTCCATTGGTAGAGGTTCATTTTTGTATACTTTTGGGAGGGGGGGGCAAAAGGACTCATATCTACTGGGTATATGTCCAGGAGGGGAATTGGCAATGAAAGGTTCTAAAGGGCTGAGTGCCATGGTCATCTACGTGCAACAAAACTCAACCCTGGCTGCAGGGTCAGAGATACCCAAGGGTGCGGCTCCAGGCACCAGGGGGAAGCTGGGAGGCTGTGGTCGTGATGCACAAGTGAAGAATCATCACTCCTGATGGATTTCAGCCTCCCTAGTGCCTCGGCTAGATGTCTTTAGAGTGTTGCTGGAGGGGGCAGGGGCAGGATGTAAGACCGTTACACAGATTTGGATGGTAGGGTGTCGGGGAACACTAGGGGTTAATTCAGTCCTGGCCGGCAGAGCAGAGCAGGAAGGGTGGTTGGAACCAGTGGGTGGAAAGGGGCTGGGTGAGGAGGGTTGAGTTGAGAATCCTGCATTAGAGGGGCTGTGGGATATCAAGATTCAGTCAGCAGTTGGGTCCACGAGTGTGACGCTCAGAAGGCAGATCTGAGCCGGGGACGTCTCACATCAACCGGCACAGAACCCAGTGCGTCAGCCAGGGTGCTCTGGCTGTGAGGAATAGAAAACGTAACTCAAAGTCACTAAACCATTTCTGATCCCTGTAAAGATGTCTACAGATCAGGCAGCTCCAGCGCTAGTTCACTCGCTGGATTACCAGTGTTACCTAGTATCCAGAGTCCTACCCTTCTTCTTCTTTACCTTCTACGTCTGTTGACTTTGACCCTGAATAGACCCCTCGTGGTTGTGAGATGCCCCATGTGTCTAGATATGACGTCTCAAATCTCCTGGGCCACGATGTGTGCCAGCCCACACCCAAGCAGCCACTTGCAAGAAGGGGGGACGCATGAGGGGTCACGGTCCAGCCCTCACCTCCTCCAGGCTGTTTGTGTGGATGGAGGGTGGGTGGCTCTGGACGTTAGCTCCAGCCTTGGAAAGGAGAGGATTGGACAGAAAGGGGAACTGAAGACCGAGTGTGAAGGGAGGTCAGGATTAAGTCAGAAGGTCTGCACCCGCAGGGCTCCCGAACTCTGGGTTTTCCTGTTGGCAGGAGCAGACTGCGTGGCGGGTGAATCAGGGTGGGAAAGGATTGGTCAGGAGCCGCGTGTGCCACCGGGCAGTCAGGGGTCTGGTGGCAGCCTGATCTTCCCTCGGCTTTGTTCAATCTGTCCTTGAACGGCGTTTCCCAGCTGCTGAATTGGACTCTTGGAAAAGATTGCCCCTGCGTTTTCTGAAGAAAGTGTGAAACCGAAACCAGTTTGGCTCAGTGGTGGAGCGTCGGTCTGCGGACTGAAGGGTCCCAGGTTCGATTCCGGTCAGGGGCATGTACGTTGGTTGCAGGAACATCCCTGGTGGGGGGTGTGCAGGAGGCAGCTGATCGATGTTTCTCTCTCATCGATGTTTCTAGCTCTCTATCTTTCTCCCTTCCTCTCTGTGAAAAATCAATAAAATATATTTAAAGAAAAAAAAAAAAGAAAGTGTGTTAGTTTGGTCAAATCAGCCCACAAGGCTGTCCAGTATCCTGAGGACTAGGCAGAGTTGAAAGCCTGCGCCCCTTTTAAGTCAAGGGTTATCAGACTTTGGTGAAATGTCTAACCGTTTAGCTTTCTTATATAGAAAAAGGAAATAATTTTTTGGGGGGAGGGGAATAAAATTAATTACATTTAAAAAAGTTAAAAGGTTGGGAGGAGGAAAAGCCTTCAGCGGAGGTCAAGGTGGAGAGATTAGAGAGGTCAGCATAGGACAGGGATGTGGTCCTGGACACCAGTGTGGAGAGCTCAGAGGTGAGCCTGTCACACAGGAGGAGTCTAGTACATATTTGGGTGTTTGTGTGTGTGTGTGTGTGTGTGTGTGTGTGTGTGTGTGTGTGTGAAGCCCTGGCCCAGTCCCTTCACCTCCAGGTTGCATTATAGATGATTCTCTAGGCCCCAGAAGTGAGCAGATCCGCACAGCTTCATACTGCTCTTGTCTCAGGCAATGGGGGTCCCAAGGCCTCCTGTCTCCTAGTTGACAAAGTAGGGTGGTTTTTTTTTTGTTTTTGTTTTTTCCAGTTCTTACATTCTAAAACCAGGAGGAGCTTTTAGTATAGGGATCACAGATAACTGTGGGGGCCAGGGAGCCCAAACAGTAGAACCCATTACAAATTGCTAGAGGAATAATCTAGTTGCATGTTAAATAGGTTGGAATAGTTTCCACTTCACAAAAAATTGTTTTCTAGAAACATGTATCTCTTTCATTTTAAAATTTTTAAAATTTTTAATTTTTTTTAGTATCTATTTCCTCTATTCCCTCTTCCACCTTCATGCCTCCCCCGCACCACACTCACCACACTGTTGTCCATATCCATGAGTTCCCCCCCCCCCCCCCCCATCATTCTTTTTGTTTTTGTTTCCTTATGTTTGGTAGTAGAGACCTATTTGGAGGCATCTTCTATCTCTTTAGGGTCACGACCCACAGGTTGAGAACCGCTAGCAGGGTCCCCTAAGACCATCAGAAAACACAGATATTTACATTACGATTCATAACAGTAGCAAATTACAGTTATGAAGTGGCAACGAAAATAATTTTATGGTTGGGGGTCACCACAACATGAGGAACTGTATTAAAGGGTTACAGCATTAGAAAGGTTGAGAACCACTACTTTAGACAAATCCAGAGCCCGCCACATGATACTCCAGAGCAACTTGCGCTCGGCCTCGGTGCCTGGAGCAGCCAGCAGGCCTGGTCTGCCTGGGAGTCCCTGTCCCTGATAAAACATTTCCACTCTCAGCCCGCTCTCCCAGTTCATGTGGACCTCCCAGCGTTGAAATTGGTGACTCATTCCTATTTCTGCAAACACCTGACAAAGCGTGTCCACAGGCTCAAACCAGCTTCCCCCCAATTTTCCCAGGTTCTGAGGACCAGAGAGAGAAAGGGACTCTTTTGAGGTCTCTACTGAATAGTACTGAGAAAATTTCACAGCTTCATCATTATTTTGTATTTAGTTTAAAGCCACTTAAGTAACTATTTAGGCCCTAGCTAATGTGGCTCTGTTGGTTGAGTGTTATCCCATGCACCCAGAGGTCACAGGTTCAATTCCAGTGTTAGAAATAGGCGAGCCCCCTAAGTCAGGGGTCCTGGTAGAACACAAAACATACCGTATTTTTCGGACCATAAGACGCACCGGACCATAAGACGCACCAGTTTTTAGAGAAGGGAAATGAAGAAAAAAAGATTCTGAAACAAATAGTGTCCTAAAATATTTTATGTGCATTAAAACCCAACATCACAGTCATAAACACATGTAATCAACCCTGTAAAGTAAACAGCAGCATTTAGAACCATTTTAGAGCCGGGCAAGCACACACAGACCACACAGAGCCGGGCAAGTAAAAAAACTTCTTTTTAAAGTATATGTGTAGGCTATATTTGGACCATAAGACGCAGGGACTTTTTCCCCCCACTTCTGGGGGAAAAAATACTTGGAAGCCAGGCAGCAAGGCAAACAGCTTTACTTGTACAAAGAAGGGCGTGCACACTGAGCAGGTGGTCTGCTCAGGGATTTATATTTTCTGATGCACATGACCTGTCCCTTGCTCTTGATTGGAACTAAGACGTACAGTCTTTCATGATTGGCTAATTCAAAGTCCTTTGCTGTTTCAAGATGGCGACCTCCAGGGAAGCTGCAAGTCATGCGGCCAACATGGCGACTGCCAAGTCACACAGTTCAAAACTGTTCTTTGACAAAAAAGATGACTTGTTTATTCTTTTACTCAGGTAGTGGGTTCGATTCCCAGTTGGGGGCGTGCAGGAGGCAGCTGATTGATGTTTCTCTCTCATTGATATTTCTTCTCTCTCTTTCTCTCTCTAAAATCAATAAAAAACATTTTTTTTAAAGGAAACGATTTAATCTTACTCATTTGTTTTACAGGGAGTGAGGAGTAACTTGTGAAAAGCTCTCAAGAAATGTCCGAGATATGCCATTATGTGTGTATGGATTGAGCTTCTTGTTCTGTCCCACCAGCACTGGCCCGTGTTTGTGGAGGTTAAAGACCTGTTGACATTGGTGCCACCCTTGGTGGGCCTGAAGGGGAACCTGGAGATGACAATGGCATCACGACTCTCCACAGCTGTAAGTGGACATTGGGGTCACCTACACCTCGGGGAGGGACGTTCTGCACCACCAGATCTCCCCAACGTAGCTTGTAGGTGGGTGGGTTGGACTCTCCAAAATGAAGTGCTGTGTTGAGGTTTGTTCTGTCTACTTGGTCACTCTTCCCAGCCCGTCATCCTGTTTAGCCAAGCTGGACTGCTGTATGCCCGGGCCCAGCCCCTGTGTGCCCTGAGTTTCTTCTTTAACCCAGTTTCAGGCAGGGCTCTGTGTCCCTGTGCCCAAGTCTTTGGGCTGCCTCTGCCTGGCCACCTGGACCCTGAGCCCAGCTCCATGCTTTCACACTGAAACCATGATGAGCACCACAGGGAGGATGTCTTAGAGGAGCCAGGGTATTACGTGCTGGTAATGATCTCCAGGAGGAGTTTTGTTCTGCAGAAGGGCCTTTGACTGCCCTGCAACCAGAGTTGTTACCTGTGGGCTCTAACAAGGCCCCTAGCTGTGCCCCACTTCTCAACTCTCCCAACTGTCCTGGGAATGGAAATTCTTTTCCTCTCTCTGATGCCCATTGGACATCCAATCCAGTTTGTGAAAAAGGCCTGTGGAAAGAGGAAGTGCCCTGTGTTCCAGAAAATGAGAGAAGAGCGATGGCTTTAGGTGGAGTGCAAAGGGAGGGGGAGCGGCTGCCTGGAGCAGGACTTGGGAAAGACAGGTGAGGGGTGTGGGCTGAACAACAGCCCTCAAAGATGTATGGACAGGGTTTTTGCAGTTGTGATTACAGTAAGGGCCTTGGATGGGAGAGCATCCTGGATTAGCCCAGTGTCATCACTTATGTAGGGGAGGCAGAGGGAAGATTTAGAAAGAAGAGAATGCCTCTGAGAGAAGCAGAGTCCAAGGAAAAGATATTCTGCTATTATACTTTGAAAATGGAGGAAGAGCTATGAGCCAAAATACGTTGCTCTACCTTTTGGAAAAAGCAAAGGAACAGACTCCCCTAGAGCAAGGCTCTCCTGACACCGTGATTTTAACCCCTCACTCATTGCAGACCCCTGGCCACCTGACCCGTAAGAGAATACATTCTGGGTCTTATGCCCATGGCAGAGCTATACCAAACTCTTACAAATTTAGTGGCTTAAAACAACAGAAGCTGACTCTCTTACAATTGTATTTTAGATCTCCTTTTACTCTGTGTTTTCGAGAATGCTGCCTTCTTTAGAGCAGGCTACCTCTGGTGATTGGGGGGAGAGTCAGAATCTGTTGCCTGGAGATATATACCAGTGACTGGCCTTTTGGATCTGGGGGCTGTGTGTCCCTCTAATGGTCACTCTAGGTACTGCTCTGCCTTTTCTTATCCCAAAACACAGTCTTACTCCGTCAGTCACGGTATCCCACTGTTGGCACAAGTCAGCCAGGCAAGGGAAGGTCCTGCAGCTGTTCTGCTCCACCTTACTCCCTTGTATCTACGAGCATCCCTGAGGTGGGTGTCTGTCAATCCGTGGAAGAGTTGACTGAGGCCCCAGGACAGTTCTGTAATATGTCCCCAAAGTGGTCATGCTAATGACAAAAAAAACTCTCCTTGTTTGTAAAAAGAAAAGTGATTATATTTTGCCCCTGGGGGTTCAGGAACTTAATGAACTCAATACAAAGGAGCTGAGAAAAAACATTTGCTTTGAAATCTTTTCTTATCTACGTATTGAATTTTGCTGGCAATTGCTATGATATTTGGACCTTACTACCATCTTTGATAGAGAAAGCCATCTTTCTGAGCCTGTTTTTTAATAGTAAGAGAGGAGGGACTTGGCATGGGTTTCTGAAATGGGATGATTTGCAGAGATGAGGTTGGGAGGTTGGTGGTTTTCTGAGATGTTTTTTGAAGAAGGGAATTTCAGGAGAATGAGGCCAGAGAACTGGCAGAGGGCCTGGGCCAGGGTCACAGAGCCCTCTGCCCCTGTGGTGTGTGGAGGAACTTGGGAGTCAAGTAGCCCTGAAATTGCGGGTGACACGTATGCCTGTCTGTGCTTGTGTGCATGTATACATGTGTGTGCGTTTCCTCACCTGGGTATGGGAGAGATGGTTCACCATACCATCTGATTCTCAAAGATATCTGTGTCTTTACCTCTCCACTCCCCAGTCACTCTTTTGAAATCTGGTTAATAATTTGTTCTGATGTCAATGAAGTGGTATTTGCTGATTTCTCCCCTGAGAGACTGCCTTTTTTTTCCAGGAAGGATTGACCGTGGCTTTGGGCCTAAGCGGACTTACCCTTTGCCCTTTTCTCCCCATTTAGGCCAACACTGGACAGATTGATGACCCCCGGGAGCAGCACCGAGTCATCAACAGTAACCTCGCCCTCATTCAGGTGACTCTCCCCTTACCTGATGGTGACCCTCCCCTCTTTGGAATCTGCAGCCAGGCTGGGAAGAGGAGTGAAGGCTCAGTGAGCCTTGTCCCTGCGCTCTGGATGGAGCTTTGGGGACGGGAGCTACTCATCCATTCACCCCATGCCCACCAGACCACATTCTTGGAGTAGCAGGAGGCTACTTGAAGGATTTGCCTGTACTTGTTCATTTCTTTTTCTCGTAGCCTGGGCTGAAAATTGCCCCCAAAGTATCCCTGAAACAGCATAGCTAGATCTGGCCTCATCACCTTCCCTTTTCACACTCACCTGTTCTGAAGTCCCCAACTGTCTGGTTTGATGGTTGAAAACTCACTCTAGGAGTCAACCAGCTGGGGACCCTTGGGAAAGTCACTTCACCTCACCTGCAAGGTGGGCTGCTGTGAGCTGTGGGTCATAGGAGAGGCATGGTGTCTAGGTTGCACGCGATAGTCATGCTAGCTATGCCTAGTGCATAGTCTCACCATTTAATGAAACTGGAAACTGCGTCACCTCAGCTTCTCTGCCCCTTGTCCTTACATCCAGGTACTGAGCATCCTACCTCTGAGCTATGCAGGAATCCAGCCTTACCCCTTCTTGCCTCGGCCTCTTGGTCCCCTTGCTGACTGCAAACGTCTTCACTGTTTTAACTGCTTCAGGCTTCCTGACCTTCCACTCGCCTCTGCATGGTTACCTAAGTGACCTTTTCGAAAGCCTAAAGCTGAACAGACCCCTTCTCCTTTCAGCCCTTCTGTGGGTTCCCTTGTCCAAGTGTGGGCCTGGTCCAAAAGCATCCAGCCTGGTCCCACCTTCCCCACCAGCAGCATGTCTTGCATATGCGGTTATCTCTTCTTGGAATGTCCTTTCTCCTTTTGTTCCCTTGGCAATGAAGCCCTTTAAAGACTCTAGTTAGGTCTCAGTGCTAGCCTGACACCAGGTACAGCTCTTTGGTGCCCTGCATGTGCTGCTGGGGATGCCCTTGTTGCAATTCTGTGTTTAGATGTTTGCTTTCTCCACTTGAGATAACTTTCATGGGCCAGGACCACCCGTGATATACTACTGTAAGGCAAGCACATCAAACTCAAAGGCTAACACAGGCAAATAAATGAGGCATGTGGCCCACAGGCCAGGTGTTTGACATGCTTGCTGTAAGGTATATGGATAATGTACAGCCAGATTTGGCTTGTAGCTCATGAGCTACAAGGGGTATCATGAGACACTCATGATACCACTAACAGTGGATCTGGCAAGGGGTAAGTGATAAATACGTCAGCTACAAGTCACTGGTTTTACTTTTTTGGTTTACACTAAATCCTTGTTCATATGTATGTATATTTTCACGTGATTGGACTTAACATTTATTAAGTCCCTTTCTGGGCCAGGCAGTGGCTTGGCACATGGTCCGAATGATAGTGAGGGTGAAATTTCTTCCTCTCTATTTTTAAAACACTAAACATCAAACATAAGTGGTGCAACAAGTTTCACAATAAAATTTTTTAATGTGAGCATATTCCCTCATCTATCCTACATAATAAAGAGCTAATATGCAAATGGTCATCACGCCCTCACACCATTACACAGTAATGGCTCAGACACTCAACACTGGGGAGAGAGGAATGGGGACCAGCCAGGCACAAATGAGCTCATGAGAAAGGAATGGGGGCCAGCCAGGATGTGGTCTGGGAGAGGGACAAGCTGCACACCCCATGGTCCTGGGTGCCAGTGGCTCTGCCTACACCTGTAGCCTGGGAGAGAGACAAGCTGCCCACACTGCCATCCTGGGCACCAGCAGCTGGGGCTGGGGCCCAGGAGAGGGACAAGCTGCCTGCCCCGTGGTCCCGGGCGCTAGCAGCTATGCCTGTGCCTGCAGTCTGGGAGAGGGGCAAGCCACCAACCCATAGTTCCAGGCGCCAGCGGCTGAGCCTGTGCCTGCAGCCCAGGAGAGGGACAGGCCACATGCCCCATGTTGCTGGGCACCAGCAGCTACGCCTGTGCCTGCATCCGAGAGAGGGACAAGCTGCCTGCCCCATGGCCCTTGGCACCTGCGGCTGCAGTCCAGGCGAAGCTGCCCACCCATGTTTCCCTGTGGCTGTAGCCAGCCTGGGTAAAGCCGGCCCGGGTCCTGGGTACCTGTGGCTGGCCAGAGGGAGGGAAGTCTGGGTCCCAGGTCCTGCGTGCCTGCAACTGGCTGGAGGAGTGGATCCTGGGTCCCAGGTGCAAGGTGAGGCAGAGGTGGTTAGGGACGATCAGGCCAGCAGGGGAGCAGTTAGGAGCGATCAGGCAGGCAGGCAGGAGAGCGGTTAGGAGCCAGTGGTCTTGGATTGTGAGAAGCAGTTGGACATCCCCTGAGGGGTTTTGGATTGGGAGGGTGTAGGCCTGGATGAGAGACCCATCCCCTCTATGCGTGAATTTCAGGCACCAGGCCTCTAATCTATATTATAAAAAGCCTGTGGCCCTAATACTGTAACAACCAAAGACCAGCATGGGTGGGTGGAGCACGCATGGGTCTGGGGAGCTACATGATTTCGTGTGCTGGGCTTCTAGTCTACACTAATAAAAGAGTAACATGCTAATTGACTATACCTTCATAACATCCACCAGCCAATCAGGAGTGAGTGTGCAAATTAACCCACACCACCCCAGCTGCTCTGGACCTCTGGGCGGCGTGGGAAGGCGGAAAGGCGGCTCCAACCAGAGTGAAGGCAGTGCCAGCAGCCAGGGGAAGGAAGGCCCATTCTTGCATGAATCTTCGTGTATCGGGCCTCGTGTGTGTGTGTGTGTATTTATATATATGTGTGTGTGTGTATGGCTAATATGCAAAGTGTCCCCTTGGGAGTTCGACCGGGAGACTGGGAATTTTATCACTCACTATGACATTCACTGACCACCAGGGGGCAGCACAGAATGAAGGAAGGCCCCAGCCAGCAGCTGAAGGCCCCGATTGGCCCTGATTGCTGGCCAGGCCTAGGGACCCCTCCTGTGCATGAATATCGTGCACCATGCCTCTAGTGTAAATATAACCAAGAGTGATATTTAAAATTTTTAATAATTAGTAGAGCCTGGAAATACCCCAGTAAGACTGAAGGATAGCCATCAAGAGCTGGCCCAGCAGGACCAGTGTAAACCTGCCTAACCTCGGCCTGGACCCACTTCACTATACCGGTGCCCTGTGGATGCACCTGCAGTTGTGTGGAAGCTTCTACTTGAAAAATTATCCTGCAATGAAAATGTTCTCTTTAGCACAAATTCCTTGAGAGAACATCCCACAAGTTCACAAGGTATGAACAGTTTAAAGCTCCACATTCCCCCCAAAAGATTACAGTATATTTGCTTTCTTAGTATTAAACTATAGCACAAGTATTAATATCTGAAATACTGGTTTCTTCATAACCTCACCAGCATTGAAAGTATTCTTCTAAAATACTTTTTTTATTTACCATATACATTGAGTGGCCAGATTATTATGATCTCTGAATGCATAATAATCTGGCCACTCAGTGTATATCCTATAATATGTAATAAAAGACTAATATGCAAATTGTCCCCTTGACCAGGAGTTCGACTTGTAGGTATAATCCCTCCCCCTAGCCAGGTTGGCTGGACCCCACCCCTGCACCAATTCATGCACTGGGCCTCTAATATATACATATTTATACACACTGAGTGGCCAAATTATTATGTTTAGAAATCATCATAATCTGGCCACTCAGTGTATATGTGCCATAGATAATGTATGATAACAATTTTTATTTTTATTTTTAAGCTTAAAACATTATACTGTAGCCCTGGCTGATGTGACTCAGTGGTTAGAGCATTGGTCCATGCACCAGAGACTCAAGGGTTCCATTCTCTGGTCAAGGGCACGTACCTGCTTTGCAGGTTTGATCCCAGGCTCTGGTTGGTGTGTGTGCAGGAAACAACCATTTGATGTCTCTCTCTCCTTCCCTCCCTTCTATCTCTCACTATCAATGGGAAAAATATCCTCAGGTGAGGATTAACAACACAAAAAATATTACACTGTACATGTAATTCTGTAATTTGTACTTTTCTCTTAATGACTTAATGAATGAAAATCTCTTATAGTAGCAAATAGTAAGCACTCAGTAAATAGCAGCTCCAAATATCATTATCATTACATGGTTCTTTGTCCATAGGTACAATTGTTTCCCTGAAAAATGCTTCATCGTAAGGTGATAATGTACATCTAAGTTTTCCTCCAAAATTCCTGTACCAGTTTTACTACCATCAGTGTATGAGACCATTTCCCTCCAGATGTATTTTATATTATCACCCTTTCAAATTTTAATTTTACCCAATCTGATGGGTAAAAAGAGTGTATCCCATCCATTCATAGATTCATGCATTCATTTATATGGTGAGCACAGGCGAGGGCTGAGATTCAGGCTCCCAGCAGAAAATAAGACCGTGCTTATCGTTTAATAGTGTAGGACCAATAGCGGTTACAAATGAATAAGATGTCTCCTTCAAGTTACGATTTCATTTAAGATTTTCCTGACAACTAGGGAGGTTGATCAGGGAAAATTCAGAGAATGAGAGAAGCAGGAGGTCAGAGGTCGCTTCCTCACATTTCTGATTTCTGCCCGACAGGTGCAGGCCACCGTCGTGGGGCTCCTGGCTGCTGTGGTTGCCCTGCTGCTGGGGGCTGCGTCTCAGGGGGAGCTGGACTTCGCGAAGGTGGAGCTGCTGTGTGCCAGCAGCGTCATCACTGCCTTCCTCGCGGCCCTTGCTCTGGGTGAGCTGTGCCCCAACCCCAGCACCTTTCTCCTCCTGGCTGGCCCCTTGCTCCACTCTCAGCACTTTGTTGCTTTCAGTTCCAAAAAAACGGAGCACGACTGGCGGGGCCTTGGGCATCCTGCCAGGTCATAACCCACCTTGTGGGCAGGGGAAGAGGGCAGTGAGCCCTGTCCTGGGTAAGGTGTGTGTGCTGGGGGAGCTGCTAATTCCGTTTCTTCCCTCTGCTTGTTTACAGAACTGGCCTGTGGCTCTGTAGACATTCATTCATTCATTCAGTCAGTCAGTCATTCCTTAACCATTTCTCAGGCATGGCTTGTGTGTGGGCTTGTGTTGCTCTGCTGTCTGCAGTCATGTGAGGAGCAAGGTTCAGTTTTTAGGTGGCCTGGCTTGTGCTGACAGAGAGAAGGGCGCTCCTGAGCCCCTCCTCATCCTGTGCTGCTGAGCCTCCTCGGGGTCAGTCATTCCCTGAGCCTGAGTCTCCTCTCTCTCCTCCCTGCAGGGCTGCTGATGGTCTGTATAGTGATTGGTGCTCGGAAGCTCGGGGTCAACCCAGACAACATCGCCACGCCCATTGCGGCCAGCCTGGGAGACCTTATCACGCTGTCCATCCTGGCTTTCATCAGCAGCTTCTTCTATAAATACAAAGGTAGGGGGGTCCCGAGGAGGAAGGGCCCGCCAGCTGGGCTGAGCGGGAAGGTTTGCATTGAGCTGCAACATTCAAATCGGGTGCCATAGGAAGGAACCCCGGGCTCGGTGGTGGAGTCAGGGATCCTCCTTTTGTAGAAACAAAGCCTCAAGTCCCTGAACTTGAGGTATTCTCCAACAAGTTCCTCGGCTCTCCCAACCGTGTTAGCTGACACACAGGTTGTCAGTTATCACCTTAGACCAGGGTATGCCAGGAGGCCGGGAGGTTCTAGGCTGGCCTGGCCACTTCAGCACACTGGCAGTGCCTCCTTGGGGAAGGCAGTTCACACTGGGCACATGTCACCTGCCCCGGAAGTTTCCCAAAGAGGAAGGTCTATCCCAGGCAGCAGCAACTTATGCTCTCCCTGCAGGTGCCAGCCAGGGGAAGCCGGGCCCCTCAGAAGGCGGCCTGGCAGCCTGCTCGGCAGCTGAGTGGGGAGTCACACATCTGTGGCAGCAGGCCCTCCCTCCACCAGAGGTCTCCCAGGGCTTCCATGAACACAGGCTGCTCATGCCATGGGCAGTGTGGCCAGGCAGCATCACCCAGGCCCAGGGATTTCCCCTCCAGGTTTCCACAGCTGACCACTCCCTTCTGAGCGTCATACTTTGTACTTCCCACCTGGCACAGTCCTGCTAAGAGGGCTGCACACAACTGTTGGCATCTAGTGAGAGTCAGTTCCGGGCACCGTCAGGACCCTGGGTGCTCGGGGCAGGCAGCATAAGGAACGGAGTGGGTGGTGAGGAGACGGTGGGGTGGCTGGGCCTGTGGGACTGTTGGTGGGAGGAGAGAACCAGACAAAGGAGCAGCACAGCGAGCTCCCGTTTATCATCGCCTCGCGGGGACATGCACCCAAGCGTATGAGATATCACCCCGTGTTCACGTGTTGGCAGATAAAGCAGAGCAACAAAACCCTTCCGCTGTCGCGTGTTCAGGCATGCGGAGCCTTTCCTGGCTCTGGGCTGGCTCCTGGCTGCTCTGGGAACTGCCTACCACCAACACCATTTAATGATTTGGGAGCCGCTCAATGTTCATGTACGTGATAATGAAGTTCATCATAAGATGACCTCAATTAATTTTAAGCCAAACTGAATTTAGAATAAGAAGGTTTGTGTATGGGTTCATCCTGTTTGATTTGCAAAATTAATACGGGTCACACGTGTCCCCAGACCCTTCCCCTTCGCCCCTGCTGTGCCCCTCCTGAAATAGTGGGTTTCAACACAGGACTTATTAGATGTTGAATCATTGTTGGGTTGTCCGTCTCTCTAGCTGGGCTGTGATTTATCTTGGTCACTGGGCCTGGCACATACCAGACATCTTCACCAACAAGGCGTGAGCCATTGACTCTCTCACCTGCCGGTGTAGTCGGGAAGACAAGCCACATGCAGGGGAATGAAGTGTCCACCACATGGCAGCGGGAAGAGGAGGTGGGACCTCTGCCGAGGCTTCTGAGGAGTTCCAGAAACCAGACTCAAAGGTGTCCTGCTAGTAGGCACCCCTGTAGGCTGCTGTCTGCTGGGTGGGAGGAGGCAGAGGAGAGTATTTAGGTCAGGAAAATAGCAAAACCCGAGAAGTGAAAGTGAAGGGGGCAGGACCTGAGGACAGAGAGGAGCTTTTCCAGTTGCTTAACAGGATGAGGAGATGCTTGGGGAGGTTGGTAGGACAGTCACCTGAAGCTGATGAGGACGGAAGTGTCTCCTCACACCTGTAGAACCTTTAGTTCCCAGCCCACCTCTCATCTCTACAACCCAGGCCGCTGCCCACCATGCCATGCTGTGCTCTGGCTCTGGCCACATGGCTGCGTGCATCCCCTTTTTTCTTCTTTCTCTTCCCAGACAGCCGGTTTCTGACTCCCGTGGTCTGCATCGGCTTCATGGCCCTGACCCCGGTGTGGGTCCTCATTGCAAAGCAGAACCCACCCATCATGAAGATCCTAAAGTTCGGGTGGTTCCCAATCATCCTAGCAATGGTGATTAGCAGGTGAGCGTGAGTGAGGGCCTCTCCCCCCCTCACCCCTGCCATCCCCCGTCTTTGTGTTAAAGAGAGTGTCCTGAGAGCCAAGGACCCCTGAGGAGGGGGCAGCTCACTGCCCTGTGGCCATGGTGGGCATGGACGGCAGTGGCGGCTCCTTCACTGATTTCCACGGCTGGTTGAGTCAGACCTCTTTACTCTTTGCCTCTGTTTTTCTTACCAAGAACCCTAGACATGTTTGTTCTGAGAGGCAGCCCTGTTTACATTTGCCAGAGCACTAGAAAGCCAGGGAGAGCCGAACATAGAAACATCAGCTGAGTGCATAGAGCCATGGCTCCCTGCCCTGTCCAGGCCTATGGGACTCCGCCTCCCGTGCCCCTGCTGCCCAGCTCTCCCTGGCCTGGCCCCTGCTTAAGCTGCAGGGAGTCTCTCATCTGGCCTCAAGGCAATGGCTCTGCAAACACCACTTCCACAGCATGGCTGCCTGCGGGACCTAGAGGGACTGAGGGGTTAGTGCCTCCAGAGACTGGGCCTTTAGCTGAGCCCAGGTCTTCTGCCATCTAGCTCCATTCTCAAGGGCCTTTCTGCTAGCAGACCCCGAGGGGCCACCCCGGTTTTTTCTGATGCGCTGTCCTAACTTTGATTCTCAGAGAAGAAAGGCTATAGTGCAGGTGCCTTTGCACCTGGGTCCCTTACACAAAATGATCGCACTTCTTCAGGGACCGCTTATTGTCCCATCCTCGGGGTGGGACAGGCGTGGCTAACCTACAGGGGCTGGTGGGAGCGAGGTCTTGCTGCAGCACCTTCCAACAACAAGGGGCTGGAGAGGACACTCGTGCAGGTTCGTGTTCTGCTAAGGAACGGCTCAGTTGCAGCTCAGGGGCTGTCACAGACAGAGCCCAGCGAGCCGAGAGGCCTCGGAAAGGAGTTTATTGTTTGTGTTCAGTGGGCAGACACTTCGAGAACAGCAAAGCCTAGACTAAACACGAAAACGCACATGGGAGGTGCAGGGCACACTGTGGAGACAGCCTGGCTGCAACAGATATCTTGGAGCAGCTAAGGAAAGTGCTAAGCTGAAAGGACAGCCTGATAAGGCGGTTTGCAAGGCCACGTACAAGCAGAAACTCTAGTCATTTAACTGCTGTCTGCTCTCTCCCCAGTTTCGGAGGGCTCATCTTGAACAAAACCATTTCTAAGGAGCAATACAAAGGCATGGCCATATTCACGCCCATCATCTGTGGTAGGTATTGGCAATCCCTGCCACCCAGGCACCCTGGGCTGGGTTGGCCCCCCGCAGCCCCAAGTGGTGGGGGCTGGCAGCTGTGATGTCAGAGGTCCAGCCCCCGGCCCCCAGAGGCAGAGGCAGGAAGGAAGCTGGCAGGCAGAGGCTACCAAGGCTGGTTTTCCTAACAGAAGGAGACCTCAGGGGAGAAGCCATGATCATTGCTCCACCATTCACACCCTGCTCCTCTCAGGCCACTGAGACCTGAGCTTTCCCACAGGCTGAATTCTATGCCTTGAAGGCACCCTGGATCCAACGCAGGTTCTCACACCTGCAGAATGAATGTGGCATTCGGAACTGGAGTGTTGGCCTCTCATGGTTTTTCTTTTATTTTAGCTTAGATTCACTGGAGACATTACACATAAAAATCTGGATTTCTGTTTTCTTGAAAAGCGAGGCTGTAACAATACTGAGTTTACACACTGAGGGTAGGGCCATAATCAGCTGCCACTGAGACAGGACCTGTGTTGTCCAGTTTGCCTCAATCCTTTCCATTCCCTGTTGTCTTTCACCCAGCCCTTCACTGATTCACCTTCTGGGCTTAGGCCCTGTGGGTATTTGTGTGAGGAACCCTCTTTTGGGTTGGTATGTGTCTGGTTTCTGATAAAGCTCTGTAATGGGACCAGTGGTCAGGAGAGCAACCAGCCATGATGACTTATTGCACAGTTTGCTTGATGCCAGGCTGTGGCTTTCTGGGACTTCAGAAACAGGAATGGGTCAGTTGCAGGTCAGGGTATTATAAGTGAAGACAGCAACTGCTAAGTCAGGCCCAGAAAGCCATAAGCCTGGGAAGATATCCATGAAATGGCACCAACTTGGATACCTATAGAGGCCAAGCAGTCTAACTGAGTTAAGCAGATAAGATAACAGCTAGGCAGTGAGGAGTGATGGGAATAGGACCTGTGTTCCCGGACTGAAGGGAGTAGGGCCTGCTCAGCTCTGGCCACTTGCTACCTGGTAGAAACTAAGGTCTTAGGAGTTGCCTGAACTGATTTGTTAGGAGAAGCTGGAAATCTGGATGGAAGGCCCAATTTGTGAGTGCTGCCAATGAATTTGAGTTATTTTTTTCATCATGCGTGGGCCAAGCAAAATAGATCTGCAGCCATCCTCTGCCCACGGACCATTTTTTGGCATTGTCTGGAAGCCCGGGGTAGTTGGTCTTTGCCCCTGGAGATCACTGGGACACGTGAGGTCCAGTAAGAGATTGTTGCCTGTGGGACTAAGGACATAGAATGGGGGCTACCCAACTCCACCTCAAAAGCTGACGGTCACCCTCGTAGGCTCCGTTCTCTGCCAGCCCCAAATTCAGCCCCACTGACTCTCCTCCCTCTTTTAGCACACCCAGTGTCCCTGGGCCCTCTGCCCCTGGCAGAGCTGGACACTATCAGCTGCCCCAGCTCCACCATCATATGGTCATCTCTCCTTCCTTACTGCTCTTACCAATTTTCTCTTTCCTCTCCGTCCTACCCGAGGTGGAAAAGATCCCTTTTGCCTTCTCAGGTATTCCATCTGTCCTCTGATTCCTGTCACTTCCTATGGCTTTGGGTGGCTTATCAAGATACCTCTCATTGACCTCTCTATTGACTCTCCTTCCTCTCTCCCTCCTTTCCTTTCACACGCCCTCTACCCAATAAATAAGTATCGGGCACCTACTTTGCAACACTTCCTTCACCTTACGAGCTGTCAAAGTGATGCAGGTGCTACCTTGATAACCTCATTCATGAGGTCCAGGCCACCCTCATTTGGTGTTAAACAAGATCTGAGGTCAGATGGGAAAGAAGGAAAAGAGAGCAAGTGTTGCATCGGAAAGACGACCTGGAGAAAGTGATGTCAGCACAAGGAACAGAACTCGGAGACTGGCATGAAGAAGGGGAAACCAGGCTCCTTTTCTCCTCACAGGTGTTGGTGGCAATCTGGTGGCCATTCAGACCAGCCGGATCTCCACCTACCTGCACATGTGGAGCACCCCTGGGGTCCTGCCCCTCTGGATGAAAAAATTCTGGCCCAACCCATGTTCCACGTTCTGCACTTCAGGTGGGTCCTGGGTTTTTCAGAGGTCTCGGGGCCATTGCTTTAAACAAGTAAAAATTAATGTCATTGGAACCTCATGTTTGTAGCAGTGGTGTCTAAGACCAGTGCTGACCTCAGCACAGATTGTCATATGGAAAAGCTGCTGCAAACAGCTTGGATCACGGGGCTGCAAATTGGATGGAGCAGGGTCTCAGGGAATCCCCAGAGTGGAGCAAACAGTGTGCTCCAGGCTGACTGAGACTTGGATATGGCTGCCAGTCAGCCCTGTGATGTGAGAGGTCCCAGCACAGGAACAATGGCTCTTGCGAGCACCCCTGTCTGGGGAAAAAGCTGCCCCTGAGTTCCTGCCCCAATGCCAGACGGTCCAGTTCTTCTTTGTATGTGTCTGGGCTGGAACTCGGAGGTATGGCGTCACCCTTTAAAAGGAACAGCTGGGTCGCCAGCAGCCTCTGTCTCTCTCAGCCACAGTCCCCACTATTTTTTTTACAGCCTGAAGTTATGGGACTTCTCTTCCCAGCTCTGGTAGCCTGGGCTGGAGGTTGAGACCCCTTGCACCTGAAGGAGTGGGGGGAGAACAGGACTCCCTCCAAATTTAAGAAACAGCACACATGGGGTCCAGCGGGTTCTGCACCCCACCCCTCCTACCAGTCTTGGTGTACTTTCTTTACTTCTCTAGTTGTAGGACATCCATTCAGCCAACTTTCAGGTGGTTCTGAATGACGGTGGTTCTGTATTTTAGTTGTAATTTTGATGTGGTTGTGGGAGGCCACAAGTACAAGTATTTACCTACCAGCCATCTTGATTCTCCTGAATTCTTTATGTAGCTTTTCTATAAATTTTCTTGAGTTTTATGTCACCTTCCAATAATAATTATTTTGCCTCCTCCTTTTTAAGTGTTTTTTTTTTTTTTTTTTAAGAATCTAACATTATGTGATTTGTCATCATGAATAGATTTTGTTGCTTTTCTATGGTTTCATTCTCTCTCTACATATTATTTTATAGTAGACTTTCCAGTTTCTAAGCTACATATGATTTTCCTTCCTTTTTCTTAAGTTGATAAAATACATTATATCAACTCATAAGCAAATGGAGGCTTACTTTTCATTGCAACCCTTTGTGTTTGGGTAGTCCATCATATTTACATGTTATAGTTTTAAAGAGATGACAGGGTAAGTCACATTTCTTGCCATTTCAAACTCATGGAGCACTGGCTCCTGAGAAGAGTGGGAATCACTCAGACCTCACCAATGTGCTGAAGGCCCCATGAGGGCCCTCCCCGATCAGTAAGGATCACTTATGAGCCTTTGTTTTTTGACACTCCCGAGCTTTCCACCTTAAGCCCCTTGCACATTTCCTCTAGCCAGAGTCTTCTCCCCCAGATTCAGATCTCAGCCTAAATGTCACCTTCGAGAGAGAGCGAGCTTCCAATTTCTATCGCTCATTCCCACGAATAGACACTCATCCTCTGACTTATTTTCTTCCTAGTACTTGTCAGAATTTGAAATGGCCTTTTCTATTTGTTTCTGCTACTCGATTCCAACTTTTCTCTCTCCTATAAAATGCCAGCTCCAAGAGTGAATGGATAGGGCTATATTCCCCTTCGGCAGAAATATGCCTGCGACATCGCCCACCGGGGCTGTGTGAACTACTCTTTGGCACCTTCAGGGAGTAGCTGCATGAATGTGGATGCCTCACTGAAGACTGTCAAATGTCAGGCAGGTCACACAATCTCACTGGTTCTGTTTCTTCCAGAAATTAATTCCATGTCAGCCCGAGTTCTGCTCTTTCTGGTGATTCCAGGCCATCTGATTTTCTTCTATGTTATCTACCTGGTGGAAGGCCCTTCGGTACCAAACAGCAAGATCTTTGTGGCATTCTATCTGCTAGCAGGCCTGATTCAGGTAAGGTAATGCAGTAGCAAAGGAGCATTCAGTGGTGGGTCCCTGTCCTGAGAGAGATGCTGAGAAGGTGGAGTTGGGGGTCCTGGACATGTAGGACACAGTCCCTATCTTCCAGGAGTCAAGTTAACTTGTTCAAGCTCAAGGGCATGATCTAGACCCTGAGGCCATCCCTCACTCCTCACTAGACACTCCCTGCTGCCCCCTCCACATAGCACACTGCATAGGCCACACTTGACAGAGCACACTCATTACTCCACCCTTCACAAGGCACAGTCCATACTGTATACAACTCACCCTACACTCCTCACCAGAGGATCAGAAGAGCCATCCTGAAAATGCAGCATGTTGCCCTGAAGCAAGCTGATGAACAGGTCCAGTTGATGAGCTGGGCCTTATGTGTCACTCATTATAGATGGGATGGGCAGGGGCCAGACCCCTGCTGGGGTATTGCTAAAAGGCATTTGTGGACATTAGTCAGAGCTGGATAATAAGGATATCAATAGACTATAGCCGGCTGATGCCCTGCTGAGCCTGGGGACTCCGCAGGGATTACTGTGGGCATTGGTGGGCAATTTTTAAGGGACTAGCATTTTCAGATCTCCTTGAGTTAGGGCATTTGCAATCTCAGCATGTCTCTGACCCTGAAGCATAGGCTGGGACAGTCTGAGAAATTGTCCTGAGCAACAGCAGGAAAGGAGCTGTGGGCAGCCTGCAGCTAGGGATCGAGAAGCCCTGACACCTGACCAGTGCTGTGTGGACCCCTTGGCACCTCCAGGAAAAGCCAATCATCCAAAGCTGCCTGTGAGTGGGCCTCCAGAAAATCCATATTGAAGTCCCAACAAGATTTGTGTCTAAGGTTCCAAGGATGTTGAGTGGAGCTGGTGCATCTGAGAAAGTCAAGGCTAGTGATCAGCAACAGGTCTGTCTGGCACTTCTATATGCCAGGAGTGGGGTCCAACCACAGGGAGGGATGCTAGACAAGAGTGGAAGAGGGTGGACTCTTTGGCCCCTGCGCAAGCTCATAGCTGGGCGCCAGACCTCAAGAGAAGCTTGTGGAAGGGGACTACCTGGGTTTGACCTTGGTGTCTGCCCTTGAATCTGCTAGTGTTTCTGACCTGGTCATTGTCTTTTTGTCTGCTTGTTATTGTGACAGGTGACAATCCTGCTGTACCTGGCAGAAGTGATGACTCGGCTGACGTGGCACCAGTCCCTGGATCCTGACAGCCACTGTATCCCCTACCTCACTGGGGTCGGGGACCTCCTAGGGACTGGCCTCCTAGCACTGTGCTTTCTTATCAGTTGGTTATTGAGGAGCGAAGCAGAGCTGGACGGCATTTCAGAACTAGCGTCTGGACCTTCCTAATGAGACCAGGCAGCTCCAGTTAGTCAATAGAATGCTCCCTCGCACCAATGGGGTACAGAATGCAGTTCCTCCCTGGCTGGGTCCTTAGGTCTCCCTGCCTCGACAGTGGCCTTTTATCAATCTGCAAAGGAGACTCACACATCTTGACCCTGATGTTGGACCCTTAGGCCACTTTGGAGCCTAAAATCAGAAGTACTGTCTGTGAGTGTGTGAATGTGTCTACATGTGCCCACATGCTAGATGAGTATGTGAATGAGTGCACGTATGTGGGGAGGGCAGGGTGCACAGGCTTGAAGATTCTGAAGGAAGAGACATGGCAGTGCACTTTGAGGGTGTTTGGCCCTGTTTCAATCCAATGCAGCCCTGATTGGGGAAGAGCAGGAAGAAGATCCCTTGTGTGCCCAAGTCTCAGGTCAGCCCGAGTCTTGGCTTACCTGCTGGCTCCAGCTCCACAGGCCACTCTGCTGAGATGCCCTGCAAATGTGTGCAGCCCTTCCTAGGACAGGGCCCCATCCACTCCCAGCATTTACTTTTGCTGCTGCTTTCTTTCCTTTTTTCTTTTTTTTTTAATCTCCTTTCTTTCTCTCTCCCTTCCCTCCTTCCCTCCTTCCTTCCTTCCTTCCTTCCTTCCTTCCTTCCTTTTCTTTTTTTTTTTAACAAACACTTCTGTTTAAAATGTAATAATCAGAAAAATGTAAAATAAAGCATAAAATATATTGCATTTGGCATTTTGTGTTTATAAAGATATTAATGCAACCATGAGACTTGTGGTCTATAAGTCACGAAAACCTCTGGCATTTCTCTAGCGCAGTGTTTGTCATACTCTAGTCTCCAGCTTAGAAGCATCAAACATCACCAGAGAACTTGTTAGAAATGCTAATTATTAATCTTCCCTCCCCCCAGGCCTGACAAATCAGAATGTCCTGAGGCAGAGCCCAGCAGTGTGGGGTTTAACCAGTCCTCAGGGGGTTCTGATGTATTCTTGGAAGAACCACTGCTCCAGAATTCCAAATTACTGCAAGCACTACATAATGCCTCGTGTGAAGGCCCACCACAGAACCTGTCTTACTGCACATACAGCAAAAAATTATCTTTGTACCATCCTAATGTACAGACTAATTATACACAGAATATAATGTAAAGTCCATAGTTAAGTACTACACTTACTGGAAAAACAGGTGGGAATATATAATTAATTCTGAAGGTGTAGAAAACTTTCATAGAGAAAAATAACATATTAGACAAAAACACAAATTACACGTGTTTTCCATTTCTTCCTTGAATTCCTGTGAACCAATACAACATATGTGGTCAAAGAGTAATGGTATAGGACTCAGAAAGTCCTTCCTCAACTTCCTAATGGCATACGTTGTGTGAGTTTTCTATAAAGAACCAAATTATTCAAAAATTTATGAAACCCTTATTATGTTCTTCCCATTATTTTACATAAGGTATTTTCAGGATATGAAAAGAAACAAAAAGAAGCCTGTTTCTCAGAAGTGTATATCTACTTGAGCAGATAAGACATTTACAAGACTAAAACAGAGGAAGATACAAAATGATGAAGATATAGTGACTTCATTGCAATTAACTATTTTCATGAAACATCAGCGGTGTTAGATTTATAAATAAGGCTTTTAGAAACTTTAAACATATATATACCTTTCTTGATTTTATAGAGGAAGGGAGAGATAGAAACATCAATAGAGAATCATGCCCCCATGGGGGACTAAGCCCACAACCCAGGCATATGCCCTTGGCCAGAACTGAATCTGGGACCCTTCAGTCTACGGGGTAACGTCTGTCCTATCCACTGAACCAAGCAAGCATCTAAGGCTTAGAAACTGTAATTCTGACTTTTTATTGTCTGAAAGCAATGTTTCCTTAATACTTGCCAATATTAATGTGTGTTTAGCTCACTAGATGGCATCTTTTCTCTTTCAGAATCAGAAATTTGAAAACCTATTTTTATTTGTTAAATAAAGTTTATCTTTGAAAATAAATGGGAATGAAGCAAATTTGTTTTTAGAAAGTTTCTTTTTTGTTTTAACTAAAACACCAGAACTTGTGCATCCAAATATATTGTCCTTGTAAGAAATTAGCTTGAGCCGAGACCGGTTTGGCTCAATGGATAGAGCGTCGGCTTGGGGACTGAAGGGACCCGGGTTCGATTCCGGTCAAGGGCATGGACCTTGGTTGCGGGCATATCCCCAGTAGGGGGTGTGCAAGAAGCAGCTGATCGATGATTCTCTCTCATCGATGTTTCTAGCTTTCTATCTCTCTCCCTTCCTCTCTGTACAAAATCAATAAAATATATTAAAAAAAGAAAAAGAAAAAAGAAATTAGCTTGAAAAAATATACTCTGAATACCTTAGAAGCTGCAATTACTTCAAAGAAGTTTGAAATTTTAAAAATTTCCTTCAGAGGCTGAGAATCATACAAAAATATGTTTTATTCTATACAGGGTGTCTCAAAAACTGTATAAACTATGTCTATAGATTCTATTACATTTGAAAGTGAAATGTATTTTAATAAACAGTACCTTTATAATTATTCAAAATTTGTATACATTTTTGGGGGACACTCCGTATTTATAACACATATTTTTTGCTATTATCTAAGTTTTACATCAAGTTTTTTAAAGAAATTTTTCAAACTTTAGTATTTTATAGATTTTCAATGACAAACACAGATTTTTTTCAATGAATCATTTTTACTTACCATAAAGGGAAACAGAAAAGAAAAAGAATATTTTTATTTTATTTTATTTTATTTTATTTAGAAACAATTTTTATTTTTATTTTATTTTATTTAGAAACAATCTAATTCCAGGACAAATCACAATATGACCTTGGCCAATTTTTTATCTGGCATGTGCTTCACATCCCTCATCTATTAAAGAGTGATGCTAATTCTATCAAATAGTTGCGAATTCTCTTGTTTTTTAAAATCCTGCCCTACCTGGTTTGGCTCTATTGATAGAGCATCTGCCTGCAGACTGAAGGGTCCCAGGCTCAATTCCATCAAAGGCTCATGCACAGGTTTTGGGCTCCATCCCCAGTTGGGTGCAGGAGGCAGCCTATCACTGATCCTCTCTCATCATTGATGTTTTTATCTCTCCCTCTCCCACTCTGAAATCAAGAAAAATATATACATATATTTTAAAAATCCTCATCTGAGGATGTATTTTTATTGATTTTAGAGAGAAGAGAAACATCCATCAGTTGCTTCCCAATGTGCCCCCTACAGGGGATGGAAACATGGAGAAACATGGATTGGTTGCCTCCCATACATACAGAGGTGTCCTGACCCAAAAATTGGGCCTTCCAGCCTTTATTGTGTAGGGGTCGATGCTCACTCTAACCCAGCTTCTAGGCCAGGGCAGCTCTGAAATCAAAGTGACTACAGTAGTAGGAGGCCTCCATAGTGAAGGCACTAAGGATTTATAACTATTCAACACAATCAACGTGTTTTTGTTTTGTTTTGTTTTTTTAAGATAAAGAACATATATCAGTTTATCTTTTCCTCCAACTACTCCTTTGTTTTCAAGGCCATTGTCACGCTTAACCATAATTCTCTGGTCACTGCATTTCTATATCTCATACCCGCTCAGCAAAATTATAAGATTCTTGACTGTAGAATATATTGCTGAATTATTTTTGTTTTGAACTCTGTATAAATATTGCTGCTTCCCATTTCACAATTTGTTTATAAGAATTGGGTGATTAGGTTTTTGCCTTTTTTCTTAGGCATACTCCTTGTCAATTTCTTCAGATATTTATCTATCTACCTATCCATCCATCCAGCTATTGAAGTTACATGTCACACTGACTCAGAACAGGTCTGTGGAAGTCTTAGGGTATAAAGTCAGCCGTCTGAATGATTCATCTGGATTCTTTGCCAATTGATTAGACAAAATAGAAGTACCTCAATAGAACTTTCATTCTATTATAATCATCCTTTATTATTGGCCCTATATCCTGTTAAATAAAACGAATTTGTGATTAACTATGTTCGTATAAAACCCACTGCAGGCCCAACTGGCTTGATTGGGAAACCTATATAACATTAAAGGAAGAAATAGCACCAATCTGAACAGAAACTTCAATAATATAAAGAGGAAGGAACTTTTCCAACACTCTTCATAATGCCAGCCTGTATCAAATCTGTCAAGAATATTACAAGTAAAAAAAATGACACACCAATATCCGCTCCAACAAAAATCCAACAAAATTTAGCAAATCATCTATCTACTAGCAGTCTTCACATGTTTTACATAAATTATTTCATTAACATATGCCAGTACTACTGTTAACCTTCATTTTGTACATGAGGAAACTAAGGGCCAAAGAGCTTAAGTGATCAAAGTTAACATCACTAATATATGTTAGAGGTAGGATTTGAATCCAGATTCTGGGCTCTGAGGCACTGTCTCCTATTACACTGCCACTTAGTCAGCTAGAGGTAACCTTTCTAAACCACTTGATATAACAATTTTCAGATAATGTTCTGAGGTGAACCAGGGGTGCTGAACACATGACTCAGACTTTGAAAGAAGTAGGTTTGGGTTGGATGGATGTGGAGCCCTTCCTTGATTATTAACTCCTCCACCCAACTTCAACTAGAATGCCTCCATTTATATCCATTTTTGTAAACTGTTCTCCATTAAACACTTTAAAAAAAAAAAAATCTTCACCCAAGGATATGTTGTATTGATGAGAGAGAGAGAGAGAGAGAGAGAGAGAGAGAGAGAGAGAGAGAGAGAGAGAGATCAGTTGCTTCCTACACATGCCCCTACAGGGGATCGAACCCACAACCTCTGGGTGCACAGGACAATGCTCCAACCTACTAAGCCATCGTGCCAGGGCTTGAACACTTTGTTTTCAAAGCTTTTTCCTCACTGGAAAAATGTTTAAAACCATTCATGTAGGGTAGAAGGATACTCCAAACATCAGCATTATTTTACAAAAAAGAAAAGCAGTTTAGAGGATTCTGGGAAGATGGCAGAGCAGGAAGCACCAGGAGCCTGTCTCCACGCCTAGGCAATGCCACTGGTGGGATCAGCTGATCTAATTATTTTGGCCCTTTGGGTTCTGTTGAAAGCTTGAAACTGACAGAAGGTTTGGAGGGTAGGTTGTGGAGAAGGTTTGGAGGGTAGGTTGTGGAAAAGGTTTGGAGGGTAGGTTGTGGAGAAGGTTTGGAGGGTAGGTTGTGGTTAATTTTGGTCAGTTTCAGCCCTTAACACAGTGGCAGATACCCAGCCCTCCTCTCCTGCCCCTCAGCTCTGTAGCTGCCGTCTGTGCACATGTTCCTGGAGAAGCTTGCAAACAGCTTTCAGGAACCCGGATGGGCAAAACATAAGGAATCTTTGCTCTGATGCAAGCCGTCCCCCCTCTAGCTGCAGGCACCGCCAGGAGATTTAAAGGGCTGGGGCCCTTTTTCACCCATACCCCTTCTCATTTTCCTCATTTGGGAAGCAGGAACTAAAGGTTCCAAAACAGTTGCATAGAAACTACATGAAAAAAAAAAACAACAGGGAAAATTAGAAAGTGACCCCGAATGCCCAAGAAAAAATTCAGAAAAGACCCGAGAAGACCTTAAGTTTACACCTCAGGGACCGTGGCAAAGCCTACAACAATTAAGAAAATAAAAACAACAAACAAATACAATAACAAAAACCAGCAAACCCTGAGGAAGGGGGAAGAATCTGATTTACAGACTTACCACATAATTCGATTCAAATGTCCAGTTTTTAACAACAACAAAAAAAATGACACAGCATACAAAGAAACAGGAAAGTATGGTTCGTTTGAAGGAAAAACAATAAATCAACAGAGATGGGCCAGGGCCTGGGAGGCAGAGGAGGGGACAGTGGAGGCACTGAGGCTGTGACTCCACCTCTGGGGAGCCCCTGGCTGCCACTCCAACAGGTTGAGCCCAGTGGGCTGGGCAACCACTGAGAAGGCCCAGGGGGCACAAGGGCAGGAGCAGAGGCCCAGTACCCTTCCTTGGGGCCACCAGTTGTCCTGAGCTCTAAGTACCTCCAGGCGTGGGCAGCAGAGATGGGCTGCAGCCCCCCAATACCAGGGTCCCTGGTAAACGCGGTTTGGTCACAGGCCTCCCAACCAATGAAAGTTGCTGGACAACCTGGCCCCTGGGGAAGCCCCCGCTGAGGTTTCTCTCATTGGGCTTAGCCAGGACACCAGGCTGACCCCACTGCAAAGAGGGCTAGGCTTGCAGCTGACCACACCCCCGCTGTCCCTGCTCTCCTGCAATAGGAAGGCTGAGTCAGAGGGGGTGCCGTTTGCTCATATCAAGAGGGGCCTTGGCGTCAGTGTCCTCAGTGATGACACTGGGGATGGGGACACGTAGGCCTGTGGTTCCATGGGATTTTAAGGAAACAGGAGCAGCTACAACAAAATGGCATAAGAAAGGGTGAGAATCGTGGCACCATCCAGCATGTATCAAGCATTACTCATGAGAACTCATCTCACTGTAAGTGGCCTTCGGAAACACCTGCTCCTGGAAAGGGAAACCTCCCATCTGGAAGGAATCGTGCAGCAGGTGGCAAAATCAACAAAAACCATTTAGAAATTCCAGTGGAGCCACGGATGCTAGAACTGAATTGGTCATTCGTGTTCGCAAAAGAACACGGAATAGTAAACAAGGGCTATTTTAGTTATGGGGTTATCTCCACGGCCCCATTGGTAACATGAGGAGGATAAGAGCACCATCTCACAGGACTGGTATGGGGACCAACACATCGCACAGCTCTGGCACCTGCAACTGAGCAAGGGGGCTTCTGTGAGTGCTCTGCCCCGAGGGCAGGTTGTAAAAGAGGCTACTGTCTGTAGACAATTTAAAATCAGTAATAAAACGGACTAGAAGTCAGCCTGCTTTTCATTAGTGCCATTTACAATAACACCCCCTGCCCGTGAGGACAGGCTATTGCCAGGGTTGACACTTCCTTCCTACACTAGAGGCAGTGCTTACAGCATCCTCGAAAGGAAAGGACATGAAATTTTGGCCTTACGAAGTAGAAGATATTAAAGAAAGATAAAGTGTGCTTCTTTAATGGGTTTTAACTATAAGGCAAAAAGGTACAGT